TACATTACTCCTGAAATGAAATGTTGCCCAGTGATAAGTTTGTTTTACTGTTCCTTGGTTTAACGTTTCCTTTTTTTCCCTCATCATTAATCCAACAGGATTGAAAATCGTTCCATGTTCTTGCCCATTCGGTTTAGGCAAGTGGGTGGTGTTGGTGATTCATGGAAACTTCTCCTTCCCAATTCATCCAGTTCCTTCTTTTGGGAAGATCTTGGTAGAAAGAAGTTTTTGGAACTCTTCATAGATGGGTCTAACTCATCGAAATCATTGACATTTGACATTGATGAAATTTCCGATCACCAACCCATTGAGGAAGAGGATGGACCTTCTAGAGCCTTGCGTGTTACCGTTGTCAAGGAAGACAAGGTTAATGTTGTGAAGATTAGCGATTGGATGCCAGAAAGTGAACCTACAGGTGCTGTAGGGATAAGAGGACCTTCCTCATCATCACAGCTACCTGGAAATGATTATCAACAACAGCAGTTTCAATCTAACTCAGACTCTGAATTCCATGTTATCTTGGAGCTTGCGGAGCTTGGAATCTCCATCATTGACCATACACCTGAGGAGATTTTATACTTGTCAGTCCAAAATTTGCTTTTGGCATATTCCACTGGTTTGGGATCCGGGTTCAGTAGGTGAGATATCTTTAACTTTACCCCATTCCCGGTAGTTGCTACATACCCTTGCCTACATCTTACACTTTTCACTTTCAGGTTCAAACTAAGAATGCATGGAATACAAGTGGACAACCAGCTGCCATTAACTCCCATGCCAGTTCTTTTTAGGCCACAAAAGACTGGAGATGAGGCAGACTATATCTTGAAGTTTTCCATGACAATGCAATCGAATGGCTCGCTTGATCTTTGTGTCTATCCGTACATTGGATTCAGTGTGAGCTTTCATATATCGAATCACTCTACATCCTATGTTCCACTCGGTTTGTTGTGTTATTTGATTACATATTTTTTACTTGCTTGATAGGGACCTGATAGTGCCGCCTTCTTGATAAACATTCACGAACCTATCATTTGGCGCCTTCATGAGATGATGCAACAAGTCAACTTCAGTAGGTTATATGAGACACAAACAACTGCTGTTTCTGTTGATCCTATCATTGAAATTGGGTATGCATTGGCCTTGTTCAAAATACTTCTATCATAGTTTTTTTCTTACCTCTGATCATTGAACTATGTAAAATACAGCGTTCTCAACATTTCTGAAATTCGGTTTAAAGTATCAATGGCCATGTCACCGAGTCAGCGACCAAGAGGAGTGCTTGGATTTTGGTCATCCTTGATGACTTCTTTGGGCAACACTGAAAATATGCCTGTAAGCTATTAAAGTTTTCTGTATTTGTCCGTAAGTTCCGAGTACATTTATTTGAGTTATTTGGGTTTGTTGTCAGTGCACATGAAAGATGAAATCTAATTCATAAAAAAAAAAAAAAAGATGGTAATGCTCGGTCCCTGTTTGCCCTTGGTGGGAAAATATTATCCTTTTATAAATTTGTTTCGGGCTTAGACACTGAAATTTCAGTTTGAGTCCACGTGAATTCCCGCAACTGCTATTTGAATATTATTTGGAAATGACAACGATGATTGTTTTCATACGGTCTTAACAGATTAGAGTGAATCAAAGATTCCATGAGAACGTTTGTATGAGGCAGAGTACAATGATTAGCATAGCCATTACAAACGTCAAGAAGGATGTTCTTGGGCAGCCTCTTCAACTGCTCTCTGGTGTTGATATACTGGGTAATGCAAGCAGTGCCCTTGGACACATGAGTAAAGGTGTTGCTGCTCTGTCAATGGATAAGAAGTTCATCCAGGGTCGTCAAAGACAGGTTTGTTAACATTCTCCATGCGGTGTTCTTAAGATCAATTATTTTAGTAGGATTGAGTGAGTGTCCGTTAACCATGTGATTAGCATTCCGTGTCATGGTCCTTTAGCCACAACAAATGCGCAATTTATTCTGTAAGAGTAACCCTACCATGGTCTACTTTGTCCTTGTTGCATCTATTCTACGGTTTTCCTATTTGTACACGTTGCTGAGTTGTTCCAGTGTTAAAATATTCTCTATCTACTAATTTGATTTGTGTGCTCAAAGGAGAACAAAGGGGTAGAGGACATTGGTGACGTCATCAGAGAGGGAGGAGGAGCTCTTGCGAAGGGGCTATTCAGAGGGGTGACTGGTATATTGACAAAGCCACTTGAAGGTGCAAAATCTTCTGGGGTAGAGGGATTTGTCCAGGGTGTTGGAAAAGGAATAATCGGTGCAGCTGCTCAACCTGTTAGTGGGGTTCTAGATCTTCTGTCTAAAACCACTGAAGGTGCCAATGCTATGAGGATGAAGATAGCATCTGCCATAACATCAGAAGAGCAGCTTCTTCGAAGGAGACTGCCCCGTGTTATTGGCGGTGATAATTTGGTTCGACCATACAATGAGTACAAAGCCCAAGGCCAGGTAATTCCATAGTTCTTTTTATATAACATCGAGATCCGAGTGAAATCACGATGGCGTTTTCTAGTGCATGTAATTCTGCAGCTGATATGATGAAACAGCTTTTTTTCTTCTATTAGAATGTGGCAATCCTTTATCACTCTTGAAAGAGAACCTTCTGTCATCATCACTCGTATATGATTGTTCTTATGCTAAATTAATGATCTTTGTTTATCACCTAACTTTTAGATTTTACATGCAGTTAGGAATCATTAGGACCTACAAGTTTGAGTTGGGAGGAAGTAGCTAATTGTAGAATGGACAGTTATGGAATCTCTTGGTGCAAGTGTTTGTTTAATAGGGTCCTTAAAATTGTTACTCGCCATGATCAGTTGAGCCATCTTTATCTTCAGAGCAAGTTATCTAGAATCATAGGGCTTCATGGATATTGTGATTCTGAGTTCTGAATTTGTTAGCCGCTAATTCTTCATTTGGATCATCTATTTGTAACCTGAATTGCATTTTGCTCTTGTCCAGGTTATATTGCAACTGGCGGAGTCGGGTTCATTTTTTGGGCAGGTTGATCTATTTAAAGTACGCGGGAAGTTTGCTTTATCAGATGCGTATGAAGATCATTTCATTCTACCTAAGGGAAAGATTGTTATGGTCACACACAGGAGGGTGATGCTATTGCAAGTAAGTTCTCAATACAATGCTTCATGTCCTCTTCTCAATACCTAAAGTTCCTGAATCGGAAACCTTATTTGTTATGCCTGTTTTCCAGCAACCTTCAAACATTATTGGTCAGAGAAAGTTCAGCCCAGCTAGGGATCCATGTTCAGTAGTTTGGGACGTGCTGTGGAGCGAATTGGTGACCATGGAGTTGAGTCATGGGAAGAAAGACCAGCAAAAGTCCCCGCCTTCAAAGCTGCTCATATATCTACGAAGTAGACCGACAGAGTCAAGGGAACAATTCCGTAAAATAAAATGCAGCCGTGAAACTGATCAAGCTCTGGAGGTTTACTGTTCGATTGAAAGAGCAATGAACACATATGGACGGAATACACTACAGGTTTGTTACTCCTAAATCCTATAGCAAACTGGAGTTTGAAGAATTTCAAACTAGAGTGGGAATTTGATGCATTTCGCACTGGATGTGTTCCTTTTTCGTTTTGGTCCTGGCTTCTTATTCAGGAATTGCTGAAGAACAAAGTGATGAAACCGTATTCACCAAGTTTAGAAGGGGGCAATACCGAAACAACTACGAAAGAAGGGGCTTCAGCCTGGCTTCCTCCTCAGGTCCCCAGACAAGGTTCAAACTCGACATTTGGCAGCAGCTCCGGCTAATTCACGAATTCAATTTCTGTCTGCTAAGCTTTAGAGGAAATCCTCAGCATGGAAAGGTATGGATTAAATTCATTTGCCTGGGCTTCCACCTGATAAAAGAAAGTGTTTTTTTTCCATCTATTGAGCTCCCAAGCTGGAACTCCCTTCAGTTAATTACTATTCTCACGAGTCAGTCTATTTCCCAAATATCAGACGCTGCTTTGCTGCATTGAGAAGTGAAATGAGAACATTCAGAATTATCGTATAAACTTCTCTTGAAACTCAAGTTTCGGAGTCTGCAGTGTCTGACATTTTATCATGCAGGTAAAAACTGCAGATGGGGAGGGGGCAAAAGTTCGTCACCGATGGTATAATGCGAAAGATTGGTTTACCACTAGGAAGGAAAAGTCGCATAACGTTCAATTCTGCTGGAAAGGAGTTCTTTTGTACAGAAGATTACAGATAAAAAAATATGAAATAGGGGATTATTAGGTATAGAGAGCGATTGCAAAAGAGGTGTATAGGTTTCCAAAACTGACCCTGTTGTCTGCTTTATCTTCTGCTTTCAGTTTTGTAGTCTATATTACTGTTAGTAGTATTTGCGGGAAATGGTAGAAAAGGAGGGTTGCTTTGGTATAATCAAGAGAAGCAAGCTGTATAGTATTATTGTATATGCTGCATTCTGCATGCTGCCTTCCTTTGTACTAGTCCGATTACAGTGCTGATGGGGCTTCACGTCAGCATGTGCTGATATCGTCAAAATCTGATTCGACAATCGGAAGCTAGCCGTAATTGACACATTTATATGCTCGTTTAATATACGAGGAATAACCGTATGTGAATATGCTGAACACATGTTATGTATTGTTAGGAAATAGGTGTGTCGGTCTCGAACCAAGCCGTGTTTGTAAAGTAGATCACAACATTTATCATCATTCTTCGCAATCCCATCCGCAATGTTGATGTTGTGCTTTCTAATTTAAAATCTCACTAGCTCCAACCTTGATTGGATGTAGAAATTCCAACTATCTACATGTCGGTTTGTTATTGATGGATTCTTCTTTCGTAATATTTAATGTTTTTAATTATACTAAATAAATTAAGAATTAAAATATAAAAAAATAACTCACTAATAGAAAACTTACACGTGGCTGAGGGCCTAGTTAGTGATGCCCATGAGGAGCATTCTATTCTATTTAGATTTCAGAGGAACCTGAACCAAACCAGTAACCATACTACCCCAAAATATCAAACATTTCTTCATCCAATTCCTCCCTCCACAATGATAAAAATTGGCTACACTCTGCTAAACCATGTCAAACCAAGGGAAGGGACAGCTGAACCGACCATCTTCTTCGTACCTAGGTTTTCTCTCTTCCTCATCGGCCACCAATGGAGACGAAGACTACCAAAATCGCGAGGACAGATGAAGGCAACTCCCCGGCCGACATGCTTAGCTCCCTGCCGGACGAAATCCTGACCGATATCCTATCTTTCCTGCCAACCAAGTACGCCGTCGGCACCGCCGCCCTAAGCCGACGGTGGAAGGATCTCGGTGCCAACGTTTCCAACATCGACTTCGACAATAATTTGGTGTACAAGCCTCTCACGAAGCAGCTCGCCTGCGAGGAGATGCAGTCGGATCAAGCGCTGGAACTGTTTCTCAAGGGAATCAATTTCCTGCAGCCCCCCGAGAGGATGAAAAGATATCTCGCAGCGATGGCGTCTCGGTACAGATCACTCGTTACGTCCATACTCTCGCACATTCAATACCTCAGCTACTGGGATTTCTCCCTCTTCGTCGACAATGTCCTGCTACAGCACCGGAATCTCCACCGCGTGAGGCGCTTCCGCTTGCATTACGACTGCAGGAAGCCGTTCGACAGGAGGTTGAAGCCGGATCTGTGGTTCTATTGGTTTGAGAAGGCAGTCACGTCGTCACGGTCCGAGCTCGAGCAGCTCGATGTCAAAATCGAGGGCAAAATTGATGAGCTCCCCTCTGGTATGATCTTTCTAACGGATTGTTTCTACACTCCCAAGAACCTTAGGGTTTTGAAGCTCGAGGGGGTCGTATTAGAGTCCTCACACGAGTTAATTTTCCTTCCTAGTGTCAAGATTCTGCAGCTTGTGAGAGTGAAGACTGGACTGCGAGTCGTTGAGCAGGCTGCTCTCTGCCTGCCCTGTTTTGGAGACTGCTCACCTGGAGAATTGCTGCTTTGGTGGCTTAGAAGTCAGCACAGGCATGAATGAGAATTATGATGATGAGGATGAGAATGATGATGTTGAGAATGGGAATGAGAATGAGAATGAGAATGTGAATGGGAAAGATATAGTGGTTGCTTCCATACCATCTTTGAAAAACTTGGATTATTGGTGGTGGTCATTATGACGAAACTACTACTACTAGCACTAGGATGTCTCCCATTGTGATCGAAGCACCAAGTCTCGTGCATTTGCATCTTCAGGACTTTGAGGAGTTGCAGTTTGTCGACAGTCGATTGTCGAGCCTTCTTTCAGCGCAGGTTGATATCTGTAAGAGTAAAATGCTGGATCAATGCGTGATCGGGTTCCTCGCTCAAATCTCCAATGCTAAGGAATTGTACTTGTCTAGGCAGACTATGGTATGGAATCTACAAAACTTACTTTTGGTTTCCTGTTTCTTCGTGATTTGCTAATTGGTCTAGTTTGTTTGTTTGTTTGTTTCAGCGTCTTCTGTCTGTCGTTTTAAGGAAAGACGATGTCCAGCTGCCGGCATTCCCCAATTTGACAATCGAGCCTGCCGGAAGCAGTTGCCTTCTCCTGCACTCCTTGCTCGAGTCTGCTTCCAAATTACACCATCTTGTGATTGACTTCGTGAGCATATTTGATCGAGCTGAGTACTGTATTCGCCTGTTGTTATGACCTACTTGCCTTATTAATCTGTAGAAAGGTTTGGTTGATCGGCAGGGAAGCAGTGACAGTACAACAATGGAGTGGGAGGCGTCGGAACCTGCTGCTTGCACACCAAAGTGTTTGCTGTCAAGCCTCGAAGAGGTCGAGATAAAGGATCTTGTGGCAGAGGATAATGAGATGAAAATGGCAGCATATCTGTTGAAGGCAGGAGTTGTTCTAAAGATGAAGAAAGTGAACAATATGTGCTTGGTTCATGATGATGACCTCAAACTTCTTGCACCACTGCCAGAGCCGCCAAAACCAAGAAGACCCGTTAACAACGCTAAACAAGACTTTTTCGAACTTAACCAGATCAACGACCCTGACAAGGAAATCAAAGACATACTTAAGTCTTTTAATAACGAGGCATGGACCTATTGAAGAAGATTAATCTTATGTGGTATTGCCACTCACAACTTCTTCCTGTAAGTGCAGGTTTTTTTTAAGTTAATTATGATTGATTGGAGAAAAAATGAGAAGAATCAAAATCGATTTATATCTCAGACTCTCAGTCGATAGGCATTGTCCCTGTAAATAATCTTCACCTATGTCATCAATCGTTCCATAAAATAGAAAAACCTTCGCATCTAATTTTTTAGGGAAATTAATTTGTCCTTTTTCTATAATTTGATGAAAGGGATGAATTATGTTACTCGATTAATTCTGTAATCAAGTTGATTGAGATAAATCGGGCAATTGATTCAAAGTTCAAACACTTGATTGAACATACCGAACCCAATTAAAAATCTTCTAATCAATCTTAAATATCTTGATTGAACATACTAAACCCAATATATTTATTAGAGTATAGTTTGGAATTGACTTTATACTATTTTTCTCCTGATTTTCCTATGCATGTAGTGGTTGTAATCACTAGAAAGTGAAATCAATGAGAACAACTAGTTTGGATTCATTTGTTTAACTTTTTATTAACTAATCAATATTCAATGCACTTTCATAAAAAAATATAAGTTGTGCAAAAGATGCTACAACGAGGGTGTTTGAATTTGATCTAAAGTTAATAAGTTATCATCGATGGTTTTCAATATGAAAATTTTAATGCTTGAATTCCTCTGTGTACGACACAAATCTATTTTTTTTTTTTTTGGTCGAAACACAAATCTAATTTCATACAAAAGAAAGACAGAAATTTTATTTTCGCCAACTTCAAATTTTCTCAGCCGTAGGATTGAGATCCAAGGGTGCGTAAAGCAAGGCACTTTCGCGGAAATTAAAATAAAAAATATCTTCTGCCAAAAAAAATATCCAACGGAAAAAAATAAATGAACAAAACCAAAATAATTAAAACCGCTTTCGTATTCTGATAAGAGAATCGACTACAGCCACCAGTCATTTCTCTCTATTCTGAGTGGTTTTTCTTCTTTGCCTATTTCGCTTCCGACTCCTCTGGTTTTCCCCTTGCTCCTTCCCTCCCTCCCAAATTTCTCTTCTCTGCGCTCGCTCCTCCAGATTTCGATTCCGATCGATTTCCCATTTCCCTTCCCCCAAAACCCTAGAGCTAGAACTGAGCGGGCGGCGACCATTTCCGGCGAATCGGAAGAAGAGAAGGAAGCGAGGCTTCTGCTACTGCTCTCTTTCTCTTTGATTTCATCATCTCGTTTTCTTTGGGATTTCTGGTTTAGGGCTCTGTACATGTCGTCGTTTCTCTTTGCCGTCGGCCTCATCCTCCCCTGCTGCTGCTCCAGAACTGCTTGCAAGTAGCGACCTATCAACATCATCAATCATTGCCATGGCAGGGGCAGCTAGGAAGAAGGCAATGGAGACGCTGGGGAAGAGCATGACCGAGGAAGTGCAGAGATGGGGTTGCATGAAGCAGAACGGTGTGAGCTTGCGCTACATGATGGAATTCGGTTCGAAGCCATCCCTTCGCAACCTCCTGATCTCTGCTCAGTTTCTCCATAAGGAGTTGCCCATTCGAATCGCGCGCCGCGTCATGGACCTCGAGACGCTCCCTTACGGCCTCTCTCACAAACCCGCCGTCCTCAAGGTTTGCTTTTCAGTTTTTGCTGCTTGCTTGCTTTCATGATTGATGATGGATTGGATTGGATTGGAACCCAGTTTGTTATTCATTACTATTAATATAATAGGAAAGAAATGAAGGGGTTGTTTAGTGCTTGATCTTGTCAAGCTTTTCGTTATTATAAGGGTGGTTAATGGGAATACTTTTCGTTCTTCCTTTCTGTTTTTAAATTGAGCATTAATACAATACAATATTGTGGCTATCATGCATGTGAAGTGCGCTCCTTCAGAGATTGTGTCGTTGGTTGTGGCTGGATAATGACTGTCTTACTTGCATCTTTCAATGTTAGCTCCCCATTCAAATTTATACCATTTGTTAAGGTTGTACTCTTCAATAGGTTTCTACAGTGTTATGATGATCCTACTTCTCCAGTTGGGAAAAAATGTTTATTTTCCTCTATGTAATGTTTACTGTTTACATCTCAATTCACATTCTTTACTGCCTTAGACAGTATCGTATATGCTTTCTTCCTGACTTTCTATAGGTCCAATTTTCAATTCGCAACTGCATCTGCAACTGCTTACACTACCCTTTTGCTGTCAGGTGCGAGATTGGTACCTGGATTCTTTCCGTGATCTCAGGTTATTCCCCGAGATAAAGGATCCAAATGATGAGACGGAGTTTACGCAAATGATCAAAGCGATTAAGGTGAGGCACAACAATGTGGTTCCCATGATGGCCTTAGGCGTTCAACAGTTGAAGAAAGGCTTGGACCCAAATGTTGATTACGACGCTCTTGATGAGATTCATGAGTTTCTGGATCGGTTTTATATGTCCAGAATCGGCATTCGTATGCTGATTGGTTAGTTCTATCTCCCTTCTGCCTCCTTCACATTCACTTCACAGTTGTCTTTTCATGTCTTAGATTTCTGGCCTTCAGTGGACTTCTGTTTGTAATTGGGACTCTATCTGATTTTTTTAAATCTTAAATGATGTAATTGGGATGGGATGCCCAGGGCAGCATGTGGAGTTGCAGAATCCGAATCCCCCTCCTCACTGTGTGGGTTGTATACATACTAAAATGTCTCCGCTTGAGGTTGCACGCGATGCTAGTGAGGATGCTCGTTCTGTTTGTTTCCGGGAGTATGGCAGTGCCCCAGATATTGACATCTACGGGGATCCCAATTTCACTTTCCCGTAAGTGTATGGTGTCTGTCTACGATCTATTTTTGTTCTCCTTGCTACCTTGCCATAGATTAAGATCGCCATTCACCATTTATTCTGTATAATGTAAGTTCTTATCCATGAAATGTTGGTCTTGCAACAGGTATGTTCCTGCACACTTGCATCTTATGGTATTTGAGCTCGTCAAGAATTCACTGCGGGCAGTGCAAGAGCGTTATCTCGACTCAGATAAAGTAGCACCTCCTGTACGAATAATTGTTGCTGATGGAATAGAGGATGTTACCATAAAGGTGAGTCACTGATGTTTCTGTACTCATTTTCCCCAGTTGGTCCGTATGTTTAGTTTTGTTTTCAAGTAGTTGGTCCAACATCCATGCCTCTTGCCTCACACCAGGTTTCAGATGAAGGAGGTGGCATACGGAGAAGTGGTCTTCCGAAAATTTTCACTTACCTTTACAGCACAGCAAAAAACCCACTGGATGAGCACGATGATCTAGGGACTGCTGATACAGCAACAATGGCTGGATACGGGTATGGTATCCCAATTAGCCGCTTGTATGCCCGGTATTTTGGAGGCGATCTTCAAATTATCTCCATGGAAGGATATGGTGAGTGAAGTTTCTTAAGTCCTTCTAATGTGTCGATCTGTGTTTTCGTTTACGTTGCCATGTGAATCATTTGCGCTGATTCACAGATGCTGTGGGGTTTGTAGGAACTGATGCATATCTCCATCTGTCTCGGTTGGGAGATTCACAGGAACCCCTGCCTTGAAAGCAGAGGCAAGCTGAGGCTTTGGTTGCATATATTGTAGAGGGTTGAGAGAGACCTCGTGTTGAAGATCAGACAGCTCTTGAAATGTAATTTTTGAATGGGGCTGTTGTAATAATTTGGACGTCAGTTTGTAAATTCTTGATGTGCCCTTGAGCTCCTGATTTTAGGCGTTTGTTCAATTCATCTTGACGCCACATCAGCTTAAAGCTCAATAGAAATTTGCTTGAATAGTCATTTGTGAATTTATTGCTCGATCGCCAGGCAGGAATTAGAGCTAATCAAGGAACTTGCACAGAACTGTTGTTTGCTATTACTACACCCTCATGAAAAGAGAAACAGAACGAATGCACACGACAGAAGAGGGAAGAAAGCACCAACTCACTAACTCTAATGCAATGCAGTGTACAGACTGAAGGTAAATGAACCAGCGAACCCGAAATCACTAACAAGTTAGCCCTTCCCCGACTAGAAGTAAGAAACAGCAATATTTACCACATCTCTCTTAGCTAGCTAGCTCCGAATTTCGTCGCTCAAATCCTCGTTCAAGAAATTCTCATCCTCTTCCTCGTCAGTACTGCCACAGCCGTCGGCGCCAGCATCAGGAGGGTTAACATCACCTCTATTCACCATTTCATGAGTTTCTTTCTCACCTTCTCCATCGAAATAATCCATCATTTCTTTCTCGTCTCCGTCTTCACCCCCAATCCCATTCTCTACCCCCTACACAAACCAAAGCCACATCCCCTATTTGTGTCAACACTGTGCTATATATTTTACAAGCTATCATGAAAGATGTATTCACAAAATCATTGTTGGTTTAATGCAGTTGCACGTCATTGCAAGTATCACTCTCCCATGCACATTTAACACCTGCGAGGAAACAGGAAAATGAGAGCAAGAAACCATACCTCATCTTCGAACAACCCCACCCCATGTCTTTCTGCATCCACTATCCAGTCCCCGAGTAAATGCTCCGCCAGTAAGCTGTCCACCGATATTGATCCATCCATACTTCTATTCGACTGCAACTCTCTGAGTCGCGAGTTGTAGTGAACAAAGATGAGGTCATCTAATCGCTTCTTAGATAGGCGGTTCTGCCTCCGGATGTGGATCTGGTCATATATGCTCCACCAGTGCTCACAACCGAATGAGGAGCAAGTCTGGCTCAGTATGCGTACAGCTACCCGTTGCAACTCCAAGCAGCTTATTCCGTGTTGCTGCCACCATGCAGCTGCAAATAAACCTTAGTTAGAATATGCAGCTGAAAACTGCACTATCCATCACATAAGAGCAATTGTTATTACCTGGGTCCAACTCTGTTCTTGTGCTGATTGCCAATTCTGTCCCAAAATCACCCTTTGCAGAATTGTAATCGGGTATCTGAGGGAAAATATGGCTAGTTATCACTTAATCTTACGGTTCATATATAAGCCTCAGAAAACTACACATAGTGAACTAAACAAAATCCTCGGCTCTTCCTCTCCTCAATAACAGAGGAAGCACTCTTAAACGTTAAATTCCACACAATTATGACCGAATGCTAAATTGTTACCTGCCTAGATGCAGAAATCCTTCTCAAGTTGTCTGGCTCAAGTCGAAGAATGCTATCATTTAATCCACGCATCACCCCCGAATGCTACGAGCAAACAAAAGCAAATTTAGGACGGTTTACCGAGGCAAACCAGCTTGAAATGAAGGGTATCACTTGTCTTTTCTAACCATGGCAAACTCGGAGCAGTATCTGAATGACGGATTCAGAAAGTAAGCAGCCAAATGGAGTGGGTGGCATAATAATGAATTCCAGTGATTGTCTAGTACACTCCAGAATGGCCCATATTTACAAGCATCGTCCCCGTGAATAGACTTAATGGCAAGCTTTGCCCTATGCAAATCATTGTAGATGAATGGAATTGATGGACTTTCCCCACTATGAACTTTCCGAAGAACCTGAGTTATTGGTTCCACTGACTTGCAAATAAATTGTACTTTCTTCCAGAAATTAGCATTTGAGACAATCTTCTCCACCTCTTTTCCCTCTTCAGATTGAGAGATTCCGGATGACACCCATTTGCTCGACTGGAACATTCTTCTTATATTTGTTCTGAGATCCAGCAAGCACTGTAGAGTGGCAAAGCTAGATGCGGAAGGGGTGGCACCTATCCTCAGAAGTTCCTGTCCCTGGGTAAATTCCTTCAAAAGATTTAGTAACCAAATGCGGTTATAAATTAGTTTCGTGATCGTTTGCCCCTTTATTATGCACTCTTCCACACACTTTATTTTGAGAAACTCTTCAAGCATCTGATTGATGCAGTAGGTGGCACATGGGGTCCAGAATAGGTTCCTCCTCTCTTCAAGCATCTTTCCTGCAGCCTTATAACTCGGTGTATTGTCAGTGATCACCTATAATGAGGGAATGAAGAAAGGAAAGTGAACGAGGAATCTTTGACTATATCAGGTTAAAAACTTGAACAGGCAGTGTTGGCATTTTTACCTGCACCACATTTTCCTCGCCCATTTCCTCCACCACCTTATCCAATACCCTAAACAAGCTTAAAGCATCTTCTACAATGTCGCTACCATCGACTGAAGCAACAAAATATACACCAATCGGGCAAGAAACTAGAAGGTTGATTAGTGTCCTACCTTCAACATCAATCCAACTATCAGCCAGTATAGAACAACCAGTGATTGCCCATGATGCTTTATACTCAAGTAGGTGTTCCTTAATAGTTGCAATTTCTTCCTGAAGGAAGCGACCCGAAATCACCTGGCTTCGAGGGCCCACCAAGCCATCTCCATATTGACATACTAACTCTAGCATTCTATGGAAGGACTGCGAGTTTGCTGCTTCTATTGGAACCCCTGCTTGGTAAAAGAATTTGCAAATTGAAGAAACAACATCCCTACGGGATTTTCTAGACCACCCATTCTTCACTTTTAAGCGAGATGGTGGTGGTGGCTGATTGTTGGATGAGTTAAGGTAAATGGAATCCAATCGTGACTTCTTTTGGAATGATTCAGAACCACCAACTGGAGATGTACCCCTGAGACCCATTTTCCAGTCTTTCCTTAGTCGTTTCTCACCAACTGTGGACCTTTCCTGCCTCAAATGAACGAGAGCATCTTGGTCTTGATCATCTTCTTCTTCATCGGATTGCTCGCAAAAGGAAGACACGTCGTTGGAATCGAGCTGTCTCTGTCTCTTCCCAGTACGGTGCCATTTCATATTTTCTTTTATTTTGAGGTACACTTCCTCTGGAGCATTTCTACAAGGTGCTACCTCTCCAGGAATCCTAGCGAGATGTTGTTTGAACCTATTGATCCCACCACTAACCACTTTGTCACAATAATTACACTTCACCTTCTTCTTCCTTTCATCCTGAGCAACTCCATGCTCCCAACCGGGGTCAACATAACCCAACCGTGGTGGGGTGAAGTTGACCGCCAAACTCCTGTCGTTAGTAGCCATTAATTGCTTTCCCTTGGTTCTTTGACCAACTGGAGCAGAGGCAGCGGCAGCAGCAATAGCCGGAGCAGCCAAGTCCTCGTCATCTTCATAATGGAGATTTAAGTACGTTTGACCCTCGTCTTCTGTGAGGCGCGACTTTCTAGAGGAGCGGCTGCCCTCCAGATTCTGCTTCATCTTAAGATAAACATCCTCGGGAGCCTTGTCGCAGTAAGTGACCTCGCCAGAAACTCGAGCTAGATGCTGCTTTAATCTGTATATGCCACCACTGACAATCTTCCCACAGTAGTTGCATTTCACCTTTTTTTTCCTGTCATCTTGAGCTATACCATGTTCCCATCCTGGGTCAACACTGGTCGAGGACCGGAATGGCGCCATCAATTGAACCATTCAGTGAAGAGAGGGAAACTTAGTGGTCCTAGAGCAGCAGAAACAGCAGAGGCAAGTTTCTTCTGATAGGTTGCACGGCTGATGAAAAGAACAGGAAGAAAATCCGGCCAAAGGAAGGAATTCATCAATGCATCGAACAGCTCCAGCCACAACTACAGATTCCTGTCGGCAGCCATTGCAAAGGAAGGAATTCAATATCAGAAGTAATACACATATATTACTATACTTTCCCTGCTGCAACAATCACAGAGCGTAAGCATGTGAATTCTGCACAATCTCCTGAACCAGTTAATTTCTGGAACTTTCTTAATTCACAAACTGTATGTGTTACTATCGTTCACATAAACTCGTGAGAAAATGGAAGTGAACTGAAGCAGCAATCCACAATTGATTCAGGAAATGCGAATGAGCAACCCACTATTCCTTTTTTTCCGGAAGCCATATCAAACTCACATTGAAGTTCAACGAGAAGAGGATGCCATACAGTAAGTTGAACGAACGGCTACCACTCCACCACTCTGCTAGATTGCAAAGCTTCCCGAAATTGCTGGGCACAGCGCCGGAGAGAAGATTCTCCGGAAAATCCACCACCGTGAGCTCCACACAACTCCCGAGCTCCTCCGGGATGGAACCCACCAAGCTATTCTGCCATGTAGACAGCAAGGGAGAAGCAACTTTCAGGGGTTTCTCTTGAACTTCGTGGGCTTGATGTTGAGAAAGAGAGACGAGTAGGGAATGAGGAGACGGCCGTCGATCTCTCAAGCTATGAAATCCCTAATCCTGGCCGTTCTAGAAGCTGAACTTTTCTTCAGGCCCCAATCTCACAGAAAAATGGAGGAGATGAGAGGGCTCAATTGGGGTTGGCGGTTGGAAGTGGAGGTGTCGATCAAGGAAGGCGATTGTTCATCGTCTAGGATTCCCATTGAGGCCACAAAATCGCGATTGGAAAATGCACTTCTGTCAAAATTAGCTCAGGCAGTCGGGCGGAGCCGGGGGTGGATTCTCCGGGTTACGGGCCACTGGTTAGGACAGACTGGCCGAAGAGAGTTTCGGTTTATTAAACCGGTTCTACACCCGGAGGTTTTGATTGGGCCTTTGGCTTGTAGACAAGGGCAAGACTTTGGATTTGTGGCCCTCCGTGTGGGCCTTTTGGAGTTGGAGCTACTATCCATGTTTAAGTTAACAGGCCCATCAACTCAATATAGATTTTTGTCAAAAAAAAAAAAAAAAAAACTCAATCGAGTTTGGTGTTTATAAGGCTAACTCCAATGGAGCCTCTATATTTGGGGAGCCTCTATATTTAGGGGAAAGTTGGCTCCAATGGAGCCTCTATAAATGGAGGAGTCTCTATATTTGGGGGAGATCTCCAAAATGATCCCCAAATTTGGGGGTGGAAATGGGGGTTCCCCCAAATATAGAGACTTCCCAAAGCCCACCACGTGGCGTTTCTTTTTCTTTTTAAGATTTTAAGGGTTAATTGAGGTTTAATTAGGGGATTAGTTAGTTGTTTAATTAGATCAATAATTTTCAAGTGTTGTGTGTAAACCCAAATTAGGTCAATCATTTTTTGTCAACAAAAATTTGGTCTCAAAATTAAAAAATTTTCTACCGGAAAATTTGTATTTAAAAATGATGACGAACTATACAAAAATTAACATGAACAAATTATATTAGGACTTCGATAAGTGCATTTTTAAGTAAATGGAAAACTTAAAAAATGGAGATCTCCAAATATAGAGGATGTAGCATTGGAGCAAAAGAAGGGAAAATGGGGATGAACGGCTTGCACTGGAGTTGGTCTAAGGTGTGATCTCCTAGTCTCAGATCGTCTCGTTCTCTTAGTTATGTGCTTAGCTTCGATCTCTATTCATGACAAAGGAATTCACAACACAATTACACAAGCATTAATTAAACTTCCTCTTGTGATCACTCATTATCAATGTTTTTATCATGTTCGGTGTCAACAATTTTCATGAACTCTGTTGTGTTACCTTGAGAACAAAACGAGTAAATATCAGGCGCGTGTGACAACTTACATATGTTCCTGTATTGAATATATGATATTTCCTATAACCTCTCAACGTACTTTTCGAGTTTCGATATTTTTTTTATGTGATCTTAGATTATTTCGTCGAGTAAAATTGACATTGAAAAATGTTATCCAATGCCCAAGCCAAAAAAAAAAAAAAAAAACTCATTGGTTCTTTCGTTGATGGATGATGATGTGTGAATTTGTAATGAAATATGAGTGCAAAGATGTATAAGCAAAGTGACCACTCCTCCTCCAACAAGTGATTCTCCTTCTGACACGTCCTGCTCCACTACCCATGGGAACGAAATAAATGCATGGACAAGAAGAGAACAAATTTTACATGGACACGAATGAATAATAATTAATTATATAACGAGGGAGATTTCGTTGAGGCTGAGGTTTGAGCTGAAGCATCTCACGATCTAACCTTTCTTTTTAACTCGCCAACTGAATGAGTGGATCTTCATTAACAGGTTGCCATATATTAATCAATTATTTAATTACCCACAAAACGACGGTGAGAGGGACCGGGCAAGAGGAACTGGGCTTTGGATTTGGACCACTCACCCAGCTGCCTTCCAGAGTGTTTGTTTTCTACTCCAATTTGTAATTTTGCTTATAGGATTTTTTTTTTAACGGTGGTGATGTATGTTTTATTTTTCGTGGTTAAGTATTATTTAAGCAATTTGAATATATAATTGTTCATATTTTAAAATAGTGATATTATCACTATATCAACTCCTTGTTCGTGATGATTTCTTTTTATTAACGTTATGATATGATTGGAGATAACGGTTTTACTATATTGACGGTTTGAGTACATAAACAAACAACCAGCTCAATACAAAGGTGATATGCGCCCCCGTCGATACAAGATGTTTAGCGGATCAAGATAGTATTGGAGAGGGGGGAGGGGGGGTGGATACGGTACACTCCAGATACCACATCAGTTATACAAGGGAAGGAATCCAAAAATAAATCTGTACAGGTTTGTTCCAAAACGGACAATATCGTACTACTGGAGCCATCCGGTTTTGACAATATCAATTTGTGATTTGGATTATACAACAAATTCAAGATACTTGCAACGTAAATAAGTACAAGCCTGAACCACGCAAGTGACTTGTTTTAAAACAAGGATAGGAAATTAATAACAAAAGCATAAAAGATAGAAGAATTAAGTAATTAACGATGAAATGTTGGAGAAAATTGGAGTGGTAGATGGTTGTTAGCTGAGCCAAGTAAATTTTTTTTTTCAAAATTATTCTTCATATTTTCCACGTTTTTTCCTAAATATGTCATAATTCAAAGATTTTCTTTGTCCCGAATACTCGGTAAGCAAATTTTTGTTATCCTAGAGATCTAATGAAGAGATCTATTGGCTCTCGTTGATTATTAGTTTGTGGACACATGTAGTGATTAGGCGTGGATTTAGCTTTGCTCTTCCATTAAAGAAGTGGAAGTTAAGTTGATTAGTACCATAAACTCACAATCATTGGCTAATCGAAACTCAATTACCAAATGGGTTAGACAAGGACAACTTGAAGTTCCCTCAATCCACGTGGCCATATCAATGAATGACAGCCTACCAATTTCACTTGACAAATCGAGAAAGGTCGTGTTCATCTAATTAAGTGCAATAATTCAAACACTATTATACTAAATAAATATTTAACCAATCAAAACACATTATAAGTTACATGATTTCTTAAAGTGTCATTGAAACTTGCATTAAAAAATATAAAGCACTTGAATAGATGTTGATGAATGATTAGTGGTTTACCCTTGTTTTGGTTTTGCCGTGTACTTGTAATGCTTAGTGGATAAAAACAAGAGAGGATGATACTTGTAATCCTGGTTTTCCTTCCTTGGCATTTTCAATGATTGGCGGTTTGGGTATATTATTAACACACCCATGAAATTAAGATTTTAAAATTAATAGGTTATGTTATGTTTATGTTGGCTTGTAATAAGCGGTAAATACTGGTCAAGCAAACCAACAATTGTTTATGAATCATGAATTATGTTGATTCCAGAATGCAATAAGAAGAACATAGATTGATGTATTCAAGTTTAAGAATGAAATCAATATGCAACTTAATAATTAGAAAGAATATATTTACTTTAAAAAATAACTTATTACATTCTAAATACGACCAATTTCAATAAGAAACACCAATTTACCGACCAATTCCAAAAGAAACACAATACTGTTTTATTATTATTATTTAACTAAAAAATTTATGCCGAGAGCAACAAATAACTTGACATAAAATAAACGTTATTTTTCATGTTCACATTCTGAGTGAATTGGGGAATAAATATAAATTACTGTCTGTAAATATATAGATCAAGACTATTCAAGAGTAAAAAAAACGTGTAAATTATATTTCTCAAGCTTTAACTAAAAATTGGAGGTAAAGAGACCAAAAGAGCAGGGGAAACGTGTTAAATAAAGTCAATTCAATTGCGTAGGAAACAGAAATTGTGGGATCGGAAAGAAATCTAATGAGTTATCCTCCGTACCAAACACGGCCTAACGCAACCCATAGCAACTCCGATGCTGCCACGGATTCTGAAAGCCCGGGAGAAACCGGTCAGCTTCCGTCTCCCTCCCGCGCTGCCTTTTACCTTCCACTGCCACGTGTCGGTCACCTCTCCTTCCTGTTAAAAAAAAAAAAAAAGACGCACCATATATATATATACATTTCCCCTCATTTCATTCTCAATAATCCACATTTCGCCGACTCCTCTGGTTTCCCCTTCCCAAATTTCTCTGTTTCAGGCTCCTCCAGATTTCGATTCCAATCGATTCCCCCAGCCAAAACCCTAGAATTGCGTCCGTACCCATCTCCATCCCTCATCTCTCTCTCTCTCTTTCGTCTGCGGTACCTAATTGCCGATTCTTTCTAGTTCCCCCTCAGCTATAGAAGGACCCCGAACAGAAAACCTCCTACCACCATCCAAGTACTTGCCCTTTTTCGCGAATGATCGTCAGTTCAAACATGATGGCCGAGACCGAGATTATCTGCAAGCAAACCATCCCCTCCGTCAAGTACCACCTCTGCGTCGCCGCGGAACACAATTTGAAGGTCGACGACCCCTCCTCGCCTTTGTCACCGATCTTGGAGGCCAAAGTCTCGCCCTTTGAATCGGTAGGTTTCTCTTCGCTTTCTCTCTTTGTCTCCTCGATTCCGCTTTTCCTGATGAATTTGGCAATTGCGAGTCTTTTTCGCTTGGAGATATGAGGACCCTTTTGGAGCTGTTGTGTTGGGTCTTTCTGGATTTTCGAGGGTTGGGTTTCTTGGTTCGTGAGTTCAAGGGTTTCAGAATTTTCCTTTAGGGATCTTACCGGGTTAAAAACTAGAGAAGTTTTGTTCGTAGACGGGAAATTCTTCCCGCGCCGGTGCAGTAGCTAAAGCTGATTCATCTTGATTAGACGGCAATAACATTCCCGTAATAGGAGATCTAGTAGAGCCTTTCCTGTCTCCACCCTCGAATTATGCCGAAGGAATGCTGGTGGTCGTCCTAGAGATGTTAGCATAGCTACGAGGAAGTCTAGATCTAATGAATATCTCTTTGAGCAGAAATCTAGACTAGCCCTGCTGTCAATTTAGTTCTGGATGCATGCCCTGCTGTCGATTTAGTTCTGGATGCATGCCTGCTGACCATTTAGCTGTACGAGGAAGCCAGATTTGGCTTTTCTGCTTTCAAAATAACTACGTGATCAAGGACTTCCGAATCCTGATTAGGTTTTAGTTTTGGATACTAGCTTTGGATACGGTTTGAATTCCTATTCTGGGTCTCCTATATCAAGTCCCTATAAAATAAAGCAGTTGTTAAAGGCATGTTATAAATGCTCGTTGTTTTTCTCCATTTAGCCTAGTGATTCCTTAGGTTTTGGGTTGTCCTTGATCACGTATTTAATTTGATGGTGGTTGATCTAGAACTGTGGCTGACTAGATGACCGATCCCGAGGCTTGTATTAGCTTAATGCTCTTCATTTGTCTTATGTTTTTTCCAGGCTTATTAGCGTTCTGCATCTTTCTTGCTATACCTGCTATGATGAGTTTTCTCAAACATCAACTAACTTTTGTTCCCATGTAGGTTGCCAGTTTCAAAGAACCTCGCGCAATCAAGGACTCTATTATTGATCCCTCTACAAACATGTCATTTCCAGACATCCGATCGGGAAGCCACTCTGAGATTGGACCAAGGCCCTCCATGGACGATGAACACATTCGAATCGACGACCTCTCTACTCATCTTGGTTCCTTCTTCAACTGCCACAGTGCCTTTTATGCAGTTTTTGATGGTCATGGAGGGCCTGATGCTGCTTCTTACATAAAAAGGAATGCTATGAGGCTATTCTTTGAGGATGCTGGTTTGCCCCAAACTTCCGATATTAGTGCCGCCTTCTTGGAATCTCTGATGGATTCCCACAGGAAAGCTTTTCTGCTAGCAGATATTGCTATTGCTGATGACAGCACTATCAGCACCTCGTGTGGGACAACCGCGCTGACTGCCCTAGTCCTTGGACACCACTTGCTGGTTGCCAATGCCGGCGACTGCAGGGCAGTTTTATGCAGGAAAGGTGCAGCCTTTGAAATGTCACAAGACCACAGGCCTTCGTATTTGCCTGAACGCAGAAGAGTTGAGGAGATGGGCGGTCGAATAGAAGATGAATATCTCAATGGCTACCTATCAGTGACCCGGGCACTCGGTGACTGGGATCTGAAGCTTCCATATGGCTCTTCATCGCCTCTAATTGCTGAACCTGAGTTTCGACAAATGGCACTCACTGAAGACGATGAATTCTTGATAATTGCTTGTGATGGAATCTGGGATGTCATGTCAAGCCAGTATGCTGTAAGCCTTGTTCGACGGGGGCTAAGACGGCACGATGATCCAGAACACTGTGCAAAAGAGCTAGTGAATGAAGCAGGAAGACTCCATTCTGCCGATAATCTCACTGCGTTAGTGATCTGCTTCCGCGGACCGAGGCCCGTAGAGTCGTGCCCTCCTCAAAGGAGGAGGTTGAGGTGCTTCAGCCTTTCCGAGGAGGCTCGGAGTAGGCTGAAGGGGTTGATGGAAGGAAACTGAGATTGTACAGAAAGTAGGAAGTGGGAATTGTATTTTATCATTCAACCTTAACTTAATTTTTGGCCTGGCAGAGGGGGCTTAAGGATAGAGGATGATGGGTTTTTTTTGCTCTCGTCTGTTTTGTGGCTGCTTCAGATGATGATAGGTGCCCTAGTTATGGTAGCTCTCAGGGTTAGAGAAAAAGCAGCCAGCAGTTTTGGTTAGTAGGTTTGGATACTGAAGATGTATCTAGTCTAGATGTTCAATAAAGGCCAGAGAGTGCACCACCCATCGCTTTTCCGAGGAGTAGGTTTTATATAGGAAAGCCCCCTCTCGTGTTTCTGGATTTTGTGATACTCTGTTTCCTTCCTGAAGATGGTTAGATGTGTTTTCTCAACCGATGTGTACCAGGTTCGAATGGGTTGAATAGAGTATGCACAGATTTGATCTCCATTCATTTGCTTGGGGATGTTCACAGCAAATTTGTTTTGATGAATGGTTGGAAAGGAGACAAAAGGTTTGGCATTGGCAAATGGTGACCACATGGCCTGGGAGATTGAATGAATATGAGAAAGTTGGTTATCTTTTCAGTTATCGGAAGCTTTCTGCGATGGCGTTGTTTGTGGTTTCGGTGGGGGAAACGGACAGATAGAAGAAAGGGTAAGGGTTCTGTGACGGGGAATCGCCAGTAGCAAACAGCGGCCACCTTTCCTCTTGGTTATCATCTCATCAGCATCAACGGATAAGGCAACCAAGAAGAAGCCACCCTTGCTGGTTACTTGAGCACCAATGTTGTCCTCGCCGTTATGAATCTTTTAAGTGTAAATGTGTATTATGGTAGAAATGAAAATTTGATGGAGTTTTGTGAAATATAAACGAACTCGAATCAGAACGAATAAATAAAATCGAATGTTATTTTTATCTGGTTTCATTTCTCGATAGAATCAACTATGACTGGACCGAATTCTGCTCGCGTTAATGATAATCAAACTAGAGTAACCTCCTCACTGTTTAGCATTGTGCTAGCTATGAACGACTAGTGGGATAATATGCTTATCCTCTTTTGGTGGATCGCTGTGTTCACTGATTTCACACCCACCATTTCATTCTTCAATAATAAACAACAAAAAAGAGATAGCCGTCAATTTTGAGATTCACGCTTTATTTTGATATTGGGCTTTCACACAACGCATAGGGAAAAATAGATAATTCATTACCATAAGACTTCTCTCTTATTATTCTAACACTCAAATTTGACCTCAATCAGCTCAATCCCTACCGTTTATAGTTGTCCACGTTTCCACGTGTCAAGATCGCAGCGGCATCACAGCCAAAAAGGAAACCCACCGGAAAATATATTCTTAACTTATAAAAGAGCCACAGCAGCCCCTCAAATAAATATAAAATTACTTATTTTCGCTGACTGATTAGGCCCAAAGAGAGTTAGCCCTTAGCCGCGGCCTTTGTGCGTTATTTATTAATTTTTGTATTGAATAAAGCAGAGTTTTCAGTCTCCGGCTGCTTCGATTTCGATTCGACAGAGAAGGAGAAAGAAAAGGAACTCAGAGACAAAGCCGAGCACGAGCGGAGAGCGAAAATGGCGATGGCAAGCTTCGCGAGGAGAAAGGCTTACCTTCTTACGAGAACCTTCTCCAATTCCAATCCCGACGCCCTCCGCTACACTTTCTCACTCACCAACTTCTCCCGCGGCTTCGCTTCCTCCGGATCTGATGACAACGATGTTGTCATCATCGGCGGCGGCCCCGGCGGCTACGTCGCCGCCATCAAGGCGGCACAGCTCGGCCTGAAGACCACCTGCATCGAGAAGCGCGGTACTCTCGGCGGCACCTGCCTCAACGTCGGTTGCATCCCGTCCAAGGTAAAAACGAACGAACGTTTTTTTCCTTTATGTTTCCGTTTGGTTGATTGCAAAATTGGGTTTATTAGATCTATGTTTGCCTGTGTGGATTTTCTGATGCTCTATGGATAGGATTTGATTCGATTTCTTTTGTTCCCAATTTGGTGGATGTTGACGCGGTTCTTTCATTCGATCGTCCGCTTTTGACTATGCTCGATTTTGATTGTTCTGTTTCAGTGCAGCCATGAGAGCTAGGGTTCCTTGTTGATTGCAGTAGAGCTAGGATTCAGTCGTTGTTCTTTCTTTTATGAAATTGGTTTCGTAGCGCTCGTCTTACTTAATTCCACAAAACTGATTTCTCTCCATCGCCGTTAATCTAATTCACTAGCTTCTCTATTCATATGTTTGTTGTATTGATAAACCTTCCTTTTTCGTTTCAGGCGCTTCTTCACTCGTCCCACATGTTCCATGAAGCTCAGCACTCATTTGCCCACCATGGCGTCAAAGTCTCCAATGTGGAGGTCGATTTGCCCGCCATGATGGGTCAAAAGGACAAAGCAGTAGCCAATCTCACCAAGGGAATCGAAGGTTTGTTCAAGAAGAACAAAGTAACCTACGTCAAAGGGTACGGCAAATTCATCTCCCCCAATGAAGTCTCAGTCGATACCATCGATGGTGGCAACACTGTCGTTAAGGGAAAGAACATCATTGTTGCCACAGGCTCTGATGTCAAGTCTCTCCCTGGTATCACCATCGACGAGGAAAAAATTGTATCTTCAACTGGCGCGCTATCCCTGAAACAGATTCCCAAGAAGCTGATAGTCATCGGAGCAGGCTACATCGGGCTCGAGATGGGGTCAGTGTGGGCCCGCCTTGGTTCAGAAGTCACTGTTGTGGAATTTGCTCCTGACATCGTCCCCACCATGGATTCTGAAATCCGCAGGCAATTCCAGCGCTCGTTGGAAAAGCAGAAGATGAAGTTCATGCTTAAGACGAAAGTGGTAGGAGTTGACAGCTCGGGAGATGGCGTGAAGCTAACTGTAGAGCCTGCTGCTGGTGGCGACCAAACGATACTTGAGGCTGATGTGGTGCTAGTGTCTGCTGGCAGGAACCCATTCACAGCTGGTCTTGAGCTCGACAAGATTGGGGTTGAAACCGACAAGGGTGGACGGATCTTAGTCAATGAGAAATTTGAAAGCAATGTGAAAGGCGTGTTCGCCATTGGAGATGTGATTCCAGGGCCCATGCTGGCACACAAGGCCGAGGAGGATGGTGTTGCTTGTGTCGAGTTTATAGCTGGCAAGCATGGACACGTGAACTATGATTTGGTTCCAGGAGTCGTGTACACACATCCTGAGGTTGCGTCAGTGGGGAAGACGGAGGATCAGGTGAAGGCAAGTGGGGTGCAGTATCGAGTGGGGAAGTTCCCGTTCATGGCCAACAGTCGTGCAAAGGCCATCGATGATGCTGAAGGGTTAGTGAAGATAATTGCTGATAAGGAGACTGACAAGATATTGGGAGTCCATATCATGGCGCCGAATGCTGGTGAGCTGATTCACGAGGCAGTTTTGGCAATTAACTACGAGGCGTCGAGCGAGGATATTGCTCGTGTTTGCCATGCTCATCCGACGATGAGTGAGGCGTTGAAGGAGGCTGCCATGGCCACTCATGACAAGCCTATTCACATTTGAAGCGTTTTACTGCAAGTTTTGGAGAACACTTTTGTTTTCAAGGTTTTAGCTAAGACTGGCGTGGTTGCCCTCCTTTCATCTTGTGAATCCTCTTTTCCTGAATCTTTTATTATCTGATCGATTGTCAGAAACAGGAGTTGTTACTGATGTTGATCATGGCCTGTTGAATCTTTTATAGTGGCTGAATGAATAACTTCACATTTGCTTGACAACGTTCATATTGCTTTCTCAAGGTTTATGTCTTCCTTTTGCTTGCTGTGGAGGGTTGATTATAAAATACAAGCACAGCTTCTATTTTTTTGGTAGAAACCAGAGCACAAAATGACGCCCTAACCTATATTCGTGATAGATTGAGATTCAATGATCCCAACACCACCAAGTTAGTCCAGTGATCAAGTCCTGGTCTCCTGGATAGTTACAATTTCATGACGAATTCGCTCATCATTTATCAGTGGTTTAAAATCGTAGTGGCCTGATCAATCAAGTTGGCCATTCTTTTAATCATGAGTGCCCACATTATCAACAGAAGTATGCTGTTTACTAAAGCTCAAGCTTATAGCCATTATTATCTTTGATAAGGCTCATCTATAACAACTATTATACAGATATCGGTTTGAGCTCTTCTCGCACACATCAAACCCATCTTTAAACCCCGCGACTCCTCAGGGGCTTTGTTCGACTTATCCAGCACACTGAGCTTTCGGTCTATATTGGATTCGTTCGTCAACATCATCAGTGGCTAAGAGTGGCGCTGAGGTTTAACCTTTTGCAGCTGCCTCTTTTGACTCCGCATCAACAAGTTTCTTAACATCGAATGCCTGATAAACTAAGTTCCTGAGAAAGTAAAAACCACACTGTGATCCATGATAGTGAAGCAGTTCACTGAACTGGCAAAGGTTGGGAATCACCGATATGATGCAATACTAGCCAAATGTAATGTTCAGGTAGCTCCTACACCTTAGTTACTTGTGCCAAACTCAGAAGTGGGACACTATAGAGCAAATCAAACATAGCCAACAGTTCTATATATGCTTCTCTACCAGAACTATGCCTGTGAAATGGCAGAGTTATGCAAACATGACCAATAAGTGTGTATGCTAGGTTAATTTAGCTCAATCTTAACAGTTCCTATAGTTAAGATATAATCAGCAATTCAGCATGCAGTTACTATGGGAATACAACAGCATATAAGCAGAAAGTGTTCAAGCTCACCTCAACCATTCCATTACTTGCCGCATCATCCTTAACTGCAAAAGTAAGAGTCATTATGCAATCCATTAGGCCTCTCCATAGCAAATATTCATCCAGCTCACTATTAGGCCTGCTCTGTCCTTCTCGGGGACAGATGATTCATCCAGCTCAATGACAACAAGCAAGGTTCACTAAAAAGGAATAAGGACATAGCAGTTCGATCCTACTATACGCTGATGGATTTTACGGCTAGTCCCTTTGCACTGTAGACTTTCACTACATTGTTGGCTTCTTCATAGCGGCCTTGCTGGAGTAGATTCTCCACAATCAAATCACATGTAACAGAATCCGGAAGACAGCCATTAGCTTCCATCGTTTCAAATATCTCCTTAGCTTCATTACATCTCCCTGATTCACAAAGTGTCTTGATAAGAGCAGCAAAAGTACGGTTATCAGGAACCAGTTCTTCCCTCAGCATGGAAACAAGAAGATTCTGTGCTTTCCTCACTCTTCCCGTCCTACAAAAATCTCGAATGAGAGCATTGAAAGAAGAAACATCGAGACCCTTTCCATCCATTTTCATCTTCTTTACTAATTTCACGCATCCAGCAATATCACCAGTGGCACCCAAGGAACGTATCATGATATTGTAAGTAACTGCATTTGGAGAGACTCCCCAATCGACCATTTCCATCAAACAGCCAAAGGCATCCTCGAGACGTTGTGCTCGGCAAAGGCCATCGATTAGCGAAGTAAAAGTGAATATGTCGGGTTTAAATCCACGTTCTAAAAGCATCTCCAGCAGATTCCTTGCCTTATTAACCTCTCTATTCTTGCTATAACCACTTATAAGAGTGTTGAACGTCGCAAGGTTTGGAGTAATACCTTTTTGCTGCATTTCTAGAAAAGCTTTTCCTGCTTTGTCTGTCATATTGACTTTGCACAAGCAATCAATAACCATGTTATAGGAAACCGCATTTGCGAGAAGCCTGTTACTCACCATCTGATCAAAATATCTATCAGCCTCTAGGCACTTTCCTGCCCTGTATAATCCTTCGATCAATGATAGGTAATTGTTGAATCCTAACTTCATTCCTCGTTTTATAAATGTTTCAAGAATCTTACACGTCTCATTGAGATCTAAGGCTTTTATCAAACAAGTCATTGTGGTGTTAAATGTGGAACCATCGGGTACATAGCCTGTCTCGCTAAGCTTTCTCAACAGCGCACCAGCTTCTTCAGCCATGGAGTTCTCAGATAGGCAACAGAGCAAAGTGTCAGAAGCCAAGTTTCTCAACTTAGCCTCCTTCTCAATAAACCCGATCATAAGTTCAAATGCCTTGGCAGGGGGAAGGCAACGAAACAAGCCATGAACCAGCGATCTTATAGTAGCTTCATTAGGGTGAACATTCCGAGCCCTCATGGTGTTCAAAACACCGAATGCTTCATCGACCCTCTTGGCATTGCAGAATCCATCAACCAAGATTGTGTAGGTGAACACATTAGGGTAATACCCAAAACCCTCCATCTGCTTGGCTAGTCGGATTGCCTCGTCCATTACCCCAACTCGCGAAACTCCATGGATGAGAATGTTGTAAGTAAACCTATCAGGCCTGCAGTTATCAGAACTCATTTGCTGGAACTTTAGGTACGCTAGATCAAGAGAATTCCCCTTCACCAATGCATCAATAACCGCATTGTATAGCCTCGTCGTAGGACTAATACCAAGGAAGGAAATCTGTCCAAATATTTCATTGCAATACTTAGCTAATCCTAATCTTCCCCAGCTGGAGAACAGAATACAGATCAAATCTTCATTAACATGAAACCCGGAGTCCTTAATATCTCTAAGCAACTCAACTGATAAGAGAACGGGACCCTTCCGATAAAGCGAGTTAGCTAAAGTTGTCCTAACCGATTGATCCTTGTTGAAAATCGGGTCGACGCTAGTAACCCAGACGTAGAATTTCAAAGCGAGCAATGGGTTATCCTGATTCTGCAGAACGCTAACGACAAACTGCGGATTCAAGGCTATCCTCTGGGCTCTCAGCTCGTGGTTCAATAACAAAGACCAGTCTTTCCTCGACAGAGCTCGAGAAATGTAGCTTCGATCGACTGGTTTGAGCTGGGCTTTATCAGAGGTATTGGACTGGCTGGATACTGAGTAAGGCAAACGAGGTTTACCTCTAGAAAGAGCTCCTTCTAATGCGGAGGAAGGACTGAAGGATTGCCGAGATTGAGAGAGAGGTTCTTTGATTACAGGCGAAGTACCTGCCCTACAAGCTGCTGACAACCCACTCATTCCTTACCGGCGCTAACTTCCGACGGCGATGATCGTGACTTTTCTTTTCTTTTCTTTTCAGGGGGGTGGGGAGGGGTGGGTCGGCGGGGGGAGGGGGGTGCAGGGTAGAATTAGGGTTTGTGTATATATAGAATAATCCAGTGTGGTTTATTTTTTGTTTCCAAAATTATCCTTGAGCAATCATAATCGTGAGATTAAAAAAATAGGAAAAAGATAAAAATGGATGGTGGATATTGATGTAGCCAAGGTGGCTACTAGAAATTTAGTAACCAAGCTAACTCATCCCTTCGCCCATTGTCATTTTATCAGCCCTTACAAATTTTAACATCAAATATGCACTTGTACTTTGGAAAAATAATCAAACATGCTTTTATGTTAAAGTTTTCATCCAAAATTGGTCAACCACGGTCTAACCTTGATTTGGTCGACTCAAATGTCTAGATTATCCCTAATAATTTCACTTTAGAATTTTTTTTGGTTCTTTTGTATAGTCAAATACCTATAATGATTTCACTTTAACAAGACCTAGAGAAATAAATCAGGGGACAAAACTAACATTTTTCATCTCATTTGCCTATGTAGAGTAGTCTAAAACTCGGTTCAACCATGGTTGACGATTTTTTCAATGAAAGTATTAACAGAAGCATGTTTGATCATTTTTGCAAAGTATAGGGGCATGTTTGATGTGAAAAATAGTAGAGGGGCATGTTTGATAAAACTGCATAATAGAGGGGCATATGATACCTATAACCCTTTGGATTATCTATCTATAAAATTCATCCAAATTGGTGTTTAATTAACTTAATTATTTGTAGAGAATAGGATCAATAGGCTTCGTCGCCGCTGGAGAATAATCTCCGGCGAATCCATAATCTGTAGCATTAAAACTTGAAAGAAAATGATAATTCAGAAAAATCGACCACAATCTGTGATGTTATCCCTTTGGAATCTGCCAAACATGGATCCGGAAGAAATCCACTAAAATCACTGTTTAATGGACTTAATCATCGGTGAAGAAAAGTCTCAGGCAGAACCGTGACAAATTGGTGCTTAATGGAGTTAATCATCAGTAGAGAATAAGATTAATAGAATCATCATCGGTAGAGAATAGCCTAGGGCCAAATTTGTGATCTTTAGCTGTCAAAATTGAAAAATGATATTTCAAAAAAATTGTCTGAAATCTGTGATGGTACCCCTTTGAAATCTGCCAAAATCGACATGGAAGAAATCCCCCCAAGTCGGTGCTTAATGGACCTAATCGTCAAGGAAAAATAGCATCATGTCGAATCTGTGATCTGTAGCCTTCAAAACCCAAGGAAAATGGCATTTGGAAATAAATCGATCAAAAAATTCTGAAATCCCATTCGAAAATTAATTTGCCAAAATCGATTCTTAATGGACTTAATCATCATGGAGAATAAGATCAATAGACTTGATTAATAGTGGAGAACAACCTTGGGTAGAATACGTGATCAATAGCCTTCAAAATATGAAGAAAATGACCTTTTGAAAAAATTGTCTGAAATCTTTGATGCTACCCCTTTGCAATCTGCCAAAAGTCGACCCGAAAGAATTCCCCCCAAATCGAAGGTTAATGGACTTAATTATCAAAGATGAATATCCACAGGCCGAATCTGTAATTTGTAGCCTTCAAAATTCATGAAAAGTGGCATTGCAAAATAAATCGCTAAAAAGTTACAAAAATGCCCTCCGAAAATAAATATGCCAAAATCAAAGCTTAACGGACTTAATCATAATACACGCCGCACCCATTCCCTATTCGTCCAGGTGAACTGTGGACCTATAAATCCCACATCCTGCAAGGCAAGCAAATTTACAAAGTCTAGAACACTAGATACCTTACTGGGATCTCAATGTAACCCGCCAGACTTCTCACAAGCCTCGGCTTAATATCGTGATCTGTGGGATCCAGAATCGAAAGAAAATGGCATTTCGGAAAAATCGCCCGAAATATATGATGGTAGCCCTTTGGAATAAGCCAAAAATTGACCCGGAATAAATCCACCCAAATCGGTGCTTAATGGACTCAATCATCATTGAAGAATTGCCTCAGGCCGAATCCGTGATGTGTAGCCTTCAATATCCAAAGAAAATGGCATTTCGTCGCCCAAAAAATTACGAAATGCCATCCGAAAATAAATTGGCTAAAATCGGTGCTTTAGGGAGTTATCATCCGTGGAGAATAAGATCAATAGACTTCATTATCGATGGAGAATAGCCTCGTCCAGATTCCGTGATGTGTAGCCTCCATAATCGAAAGAAAATGGCATTTCAGAAAAATTGCCCGAAATCTGTGATGGTACCCCTTTGGAATCTGCAAAAAATTGACCCGGAATAAATCCCCCCAAATTGGTGCTTAATGGAATCAATCGTCGTTGAAGAATATCCTAAGGCCGAATCTGTGATCTGTAGCCTACAATATCCAAAGAAAATCGCCTTTCGTCGCCCTAAAAATTACGAAAATGCCATCCGAAAATAAATTGGCTGAAATAGGTGCTTAATGGACTTATCATCCGTGGAGAATAGGATCAATGAACTTCATTATCGTTGGAGAAGACTTCATTATCGTTGGAGAATAGCCTCGGCCTGATTTCGTGATCTGTAGCATTTAGAATCGAAAGAAAATGGCATTTAGGAAAAATCTCCCGAAATCTGTTATGGTACCCCTTTGGAATCTGGCAAAAATTGACCCAGAAAAAATCCGCCCAAATCGGTGCTTAATGGACTCAATCATCGTTGAAAATAGCCTCAGGACGAATCCGTGATCTGTAGACTTCAATATCCAAAGAAAATGGCCTTTCGCAGCCCCAGAAAATTACGAAAATGCCATCAGAAAATAATTTGGCACAAATTGGTGCTTAATGGACTTATCATCCGTGGAGAATAGAATCAATAGACTTCATTATCGGTGGAAAATAGTCTCGCCCTGATTTCGTGATTTGTAGCCTCCGGAATCGAAAGAAAATGACATTTCAGAAAAGTCGCCCGAAATCTGTGTTGGTACCCTTTGGAATCTGCCAAAAATTGACCTGGAATAAATCCCCCCAAATCGGTGCTTAATGGACTTAATCATTGTTGAATAATAGCCTCAAGCCGAATCTGTGATCTGTAGCCTTCAATATCCAAAGAAAATCGCCTTTCGTCGCCAAAAAAATTACGAAAATGTCATACGAAAATAAATTGGCTCAAATAAGTGCTTAATGGACTTGTCATTCGTTGAGAATAGAATCAATGGACTTCATTATCGGTGGAGAATAGCCTCGGGCTGATTATGTGATTTGTAGCCTCCAGAATCGAAAGAAATGGCATTTCTGAAAATTCGCCCGAAATCTGTGATGGTACCCCTTTGGAACCTGCCAAAAATTGACTCGGAATAAATCCTCCCAAAACGGTGCTTAATGCACTCAATCATCGTTGAAGAATAGGCTCAGGCCGAATCCGTGATCTGTAGCATTCAATATCCAAAGAAAATTGCCTTTGGTCGCCGAGAAAATTAAAAAAATGCCATCAGTAAATAATTTGGCACAAATCGGTGCTGAATGGACTTGTCATTCGTGGAGAATAGAATCAATGGACTTCATTATCGGTGGAGAATAGCCTAGGGCTGATTCTGTGATTTGTAGCTTCAAGAATCGAAAGAAAATGGCATTTCGGAAAAATCGCCGAAATCTGTGATGGTAATTGACCGGGAATAAATCCTCCCAAAACGGAGTTAATGCACTCAATCATCGTTGAAGAATAGCCTCAGGCCGAATCCGTGATCTGTAGCCTTCAATATCCAAAGCAAATGCCTTTTGTCGCCAAGAAAATTACGAAAATGCCATCAGAAAATAATTTGGCACAAATCGGTGATTAATGTACTTTTCATCCATGGAGAATAGGATCAATGGACTTTATTATCGGTGGAAAATAGTCTCGCCCTGATTTCGTGATATGTAGCCTCCGGAATCGAAAGAAAATTGCATTTCAGAAAAATCGCCCGAAATTTGTGATGGTACCCCTTTGGAATCTGCCATAAATTGACCCGGAATAAATCCTCCCAAAACGGTGCTTAATGCACTCAATCATCATTGAAAAATAGCCTCAGGCTGAATCCGTGATCTGTAGCCTTCAATATCCAAAGATAATGGCCTTTTGTCGCCGAGAAAATTACGAAAATCCCATCAGAAAATAATTTGGCACAAATCGGTGCTTAATAGACTTATCATCCGTGGAGAATAGGATCAATAGACTTCATTATCATTGGAGAATAGCCTCGGACTAATTATGTGATTTGTAACCTCCAGAATCGAAAGAAATGGCATTTCTGAAAATTCGCCCGAAATCTGTGATGGTACCCCTTTGGAACCTGCCAAAAATTGACCCGGAATAAATCCTCCCAAAACGGTGCTTAATGCACTCAATCATCGTTGAAGAATAGGCTCAGGCCGAATCCGTGATCTGTAGCATTCAATATCCAAAGAAAATTGCCTTTTGTCCCCGAGAAAATTAAAAAATTGCCATCACTAAATAATTTGGCACAAATCGGTGCTGAATGGACTTGTCATTCGTGGAGAATAGAATCAATGGACTTCATTATCGGTGGAGAATAGCCTAGGGCTGATTCTGTGATTTGTAGCCTCCAGAATCGAAAGAAAATGGCATTTCGGAAAAATCGGCGAAATCTGTGATGGTAATTGACCGGGAATAAATCCTCCCAAAACGGAGTTAATGCACTCAATCATCGTTGAAGAATAGCCTCAGGCCGAATCCATGATCTGTAGCCTTCAATATCCAAAGCAAATGCCTTTTGTCGCCAAGAAAATTACGAAAATGCCATCAAAAAATAATTTGGCACAAATCAATGATTAATGTACTTTTCATCCATGGAGAATAGGATCAATGGACTTCATTATCGTGGATAATAGCCTCGGCCTGATTTCGTGATCTGTAGCCTCCATAATCGAAAGAAAATGACATTTTCGAAAAATCGCCCAAAATTTGTGATGGTACCCCTTTGGAATCTGCCAAAAATTGACCCGGAATAAATCCCCCCAAATCTGTGCTTAATGGACTCAATCATCATTGAAAAATAGCCTCAGGCCGAATCCGTGAACTGTAGCCTTCAATATCCAAAGAAAATGGCCTTTTCTCGCCCAGAAAATTATGAAAATGCCATCCGAAAATAATTTGGCACAAATCGGTGCTTAATGGACTTATCATCCGTGGACAATAGGATCAATAGACTCCATTATCATTGGAGAATAACATCGGTCTGATTCCGTGATTTATAGCCTCTAGAATGGAAAGAAAATGGCATTTCGGAAAAATAACCCGAAATCAGTGACGGTACCCCTTTGGAATCTGCCTAAAATTGACCCTGAATAAAACCCCCAAATCCATGCTTAATGGACTCAATCATCGTTGAAGAATAGCCTCAGGACGGATCCGTGATCTGTAGCCTTCAATATCAAAAGAAAATGGTCATTCATCGCCCAAAAAATTACGAAAATGCAATCCGAAAATCAATGGGCTCAAATCGGTGCTTAAGGGACTTATCATCCGTGGACAATAGGATCAATAGACTTCATTATCGGTGGAGAATAGTCTCGGCCTGATTTCGTGATCTATATGATCCAAAATCGAAAGAAAATGCCATTTCAGAAAAATCGCACGAAATCTGTGATTGTAACCCTTTGGAATCTGCAAAAAATTGACACGGAATAAATCCTCCCAAAATGGTACTTAATGCACTCAATCATCGTTGAATAATAGTCTCAGGCCGAATCCGTGATCTGTAGCCTTCAATATCCAAAGAAATTGGCCTTTTGCTGCCCAGAAAATTTCGAAAATGTCATCATAAAATAATTTGGCACAAATGGGTGCTTAATGGACTTATCATCCGTGGAGAATAGGATCAATAGACTTCATTATCGGTGAAGAATAGTCTCGCACGGATTCCATGATTTGTAGCCTCCGGAATAGAAAGAAAATGGCATTTCAGAAAAATCGCCCGAAATCTATTATGGTACCCTTTGGAATTTGCCAAAAATTGACCCGGAATAAATGCCCCCCAAATCGGTACTTAATGGACTCAATCATCGTTGAAAATAGCCTCAGGACGAATCCGTGATCAGTAGACTTCAATATCCAAAGAAAATGGCCTTTCGTAGCCCAGAAAATTACGAAAATGCCATCAGAAAATAATTTGGCACAAATCGGTGCTTAATGGACTTATCATCCGTGGAGAAAAGGATCAATAGACTTCATTATCGGTGGAAAATAGTCTCGCCCTGATTTCGTGATTTGTAGCCTCTGGAATCGAAAGAAAATGACATTTTAGAAAAATCGCCCGACATCTGTGAACTGTGATGGTAACGCTTTGGAATCTGCAAAAAATTGACCCGGAATAAATCCTCCCAAAACGGTGCTTAATGCACTCAATCATCGTTGGAGAATAGCCTCAGGCCGAATCCGTGATCTGTAGCTTTCAATATCCAAAGAAAATGGCCTTTCGTCACCGAGAAAATTACGAAAATGCCATCAGAAAATAATTTGGCACAAATCGGTGCTTAATAGACTTGTCATTCGTGGAGAATAGAATCAATGGACTTCATTATCGGTGGAGAATAGCCTCGGGATGATTCTGTGATTTGTAGCCTCCATTTTCGAAAGAAAATGGCATTTCGGAAAATTCACCCGAAATCTGTGATGGTACCCCTTTGGAATCTGCCAAAAATTGACCCGGAATAAATCCTCCCAAAACGGTGCTTAATGCACTAAATCATCGTTGAAGAATAGCCTCAGGCCGAATCCGTGATCTGTAGCATTCAATATCCAAAGAAAATTGCCTTTTGTCGCCGAGAAAATTACGAAAATGCCATCAGTAAATAATTTGGCACAAATCGGTGCTTAATGGACTTGTCATTCGTGGAGAATAGAATCAATGGACTTCATTATCGGTGGAGAATAGCCTCGAGCTGATTCTGTGAATTGTAGCATCCAGAATCGAAAGAAAATGGCATTTCGGAAAATTCGCCGAAAACTGTGATGGTACCCATTTGGAATCTGCCAAAAATTGACCCGGAATAAATCCTCCCAAAACGGTGCTTAATGCACTCAATCATCGTTGAAGAATAGCCTCAGGCCGAATCCGTGATCTGTAGCCTTCTATATCCAAAGCAAATGTCTTTTGTCGCCGAGAAAATTATGAAAATGCCATCAGAAAATAATTTGGCACAAATCGGTGCTTAATGGGCTTTTCATCAGTGGAGAATAGGATCAATGGACTTCATTATCGGTGGAGAATAGTCTCGGCCTGATTTCGTGATCTGTAGCCTCCAGAATCGAATGAAAATGTCATTTCGGAAAAATCGCCCGAAATCTGTGATGGTACCCCTTTGGAATCTGCCAAAAATTGACCAGGAATAAATCCCCCCAAATCTGTGCTTAATGGACTCAATGTCATTGAAGAATAGCCTCAGGTCGAATCCGTGATCTGTAGCCTTCAATATCAAAAGAAATTGGCCTTTTGTCGCCAAGAAAATTTCGAATATGTCATCAGAAAATAATTTGGCACAAATCGGTGCTTAATGGACTTATCATCCGTGGAGAATAGGATCAATATACTTCATTATCAGCAGAGAATAGCCTCAGCCAGATTTCGTGATCTATAGCCTCCAGAATCGAAAGAAAATGGCATTTCGGAAAATTCGCCAGAAATCTGTGATGGTACCCCTTTGGAATCTGCCAAAAATTGACCCGGAATAAATCCTCCCAAAACGGTGCTTAATGCACTCAATCATCGTTGAAAAATAGCCTCAGGCCGAATCCGTGATCTGTAGCCTTGATTATCCAATGATAATGCCTTTTGTCGCCGAGAAAATTACGAAAATGTCATCTAAAAATAATTTGACACAAATCTATGCTTAATGGACTTTTCATCCGTGGAGAATAGGATCAATGGAATTCATTATCGGTGGAGAATAGTTTCGGCCTGATTTCGTGATCTGTAGCATCCAGAATCGAATGAAAATGGCATTTCGTAAAAATCGCCCGAAATCTGTGATGGTACCCCTTTGGAATCTGCCAAAATTTGACCAGGAATAAATCCCCCAAATATGTGCTTAATGGACTCAATCATCATTGAAGAATAGCCTCAGGGCGAAGCCGTGATCTGTAGCCTTCAATATCCAAAGAAAATGGCCTTTCGTCCCCTAGAAAATTACGAAAATGCCATCCGACAATAATTTGGCACAAATCGGTGCTTAATTGACTTATCATCCGTGGAGAATAGGATCAATAGACTTCATTATCGGTAGAGAATAGCATCGGTCTGATTCCGTGATTTATAGCCTCCGGAATCGAAAGAAAATGGCATTTCGGAAAAATAGCCCGAAATCAGTGATGGTACCCCTTTGGACTCTGCCAAAAATTGACCCGGAATAAAACTCACAAATCGGTGCTTAAGGGACTTATCATCCGTGGAGAATAGGATCAATAGACTTCATTATCGGTGGAGAATAGCCTCGGCCTGATTCAGTGATCTATAGGATCCAAAATGGAAAGAAAATGGCATTTCAAAAAAATCGCACGAAATCAATGATAGTACCACTTTGGAATCTGCAAAAAATTGACCCGGAATAAATCCTCCCAAAACGGTGCTTAATGGACTCAATCATAGTTGAAAATAGCCTCAGGACGAATCCGTGATCTGTAGACTTCAATATCCAAAGAAAATGGTCTTTTGTCACCAAAAAAATTACGAAAATGTCATACGAAAGTTAATGGGCTCAAATCGCGCGGTGCTTAAGGGACTTATCATCCGTGGAGCATAGGATCAATAGACTTCATTATCGGTGGAGAATACCCTCGGCCTGATTCCATGATCTATATAGGATCCAAAATCGAAAGAATATAGCATTTCAGAAAAATCGCACGAAATCTGTGATGGTACCCCTTTGGAATCTGCAAAAAATTACCCGGAATAAATCCGCCCAAAACGGTGCTTAATGCACTCAATCTTCGTTGAAGAATAGCCTCAGGCCGAATACGTGATCTGTAGCCTTCAATATCCAAAGAAATTGGCCTTTTGTGACCCAGAAAATTTCAAAAATGCCATCAAAAAATAATTTGGTACAAATCGGTGCTTAATGGATTTATCATCCATGGAGAATAGGTTCAATAGACTTCATTATCAGAGAATAATAGTCTCGCCCTGATTCCATGATTGGTAGCCTCCGGAATCGAAAGAAAATAGCTTTTCAGAAATATCGCTTGAAATCTATGATGGTACCCCTTTGGAATCTGCCAAAAATTGACCCGGAATAAATCCTCCAAATCGGTTCTTAATGGACTCAATCATTGTTGAAGAATAACCTCAAGCAGAATCCGTGATCTGTAGCCTTCAATATCCAAAGAAAATGGCCTTTCATCGGTCAAAAAATTACGAAAATGACATCCGTAAATAAGTTGGCCCAAATCGTTGCTTAATGGATTTATCATCCGTGGAGAATAGGATATATAGACTTCATTATCGGTGGAGAATAACCTCTGCCTAATTCCGTGATCTGTAGCCTCCAGAATCGAAAGGAAATGGCATTTCGGAAAAGTTGCCCGAAATCTGTGATATTACCCCTTTGGAATCTGCCAAAAATTGACTCGAAATAAATCCCCCCAAATCGGTTCTTAATGGACTCAATCATCGTTGAAGAATAGCCTCAGGCCGAATCCATGATCTGTAGCCTTCAACATCCAAAGAAATTGCCTTTCGTCGCCCAAAAAATTACGAAAATGTCATCTGAAAATAAATTAGGTCAAATAGGTGCTTAATGGACTTCATTATTGGTGGAGAATAGCCTCGGCCTGATTTCGTGATCCGTAGCCTCCGGAATCGAAAGAAAATGGCATTTCTGAAAAATCGCCCGAAATCTGTGATGGTACCCCTTTGGGATCTGCCAAAAATCGACCCGGAATAAATCCCCCCAAATCGGTGCTTAATGGACTCAATCATTGTTGAAGAATAGCCTCAAGCCGAATCCGTGATCTGTAGCCTTCAATATCCAAAGAAAATGGCCTTTCGTCCCCCAAAAAATTACGAAAATGCCATCCGTTAATAAGTTGGCCCAAATCTGTGCTTAATGGACAAATCATCCGTGGAGAACTTCATTATCGGTGGAGAATAGCCTCGGCCTAATTCTGTTATCTATAGCCTCCAGAATCGAAAGAATATGGCATTTCAGAAAAGTTTCCCGAAATCTGTGATGTTACCCCTTTGGAATCTGCAAAAAATTGACCCGTAATAAATCCTCCCAAAACGGTGCTTAATGCATTCAATCATCGTTGAATAATAGCCTCAGGCCGAATCCGTGATCTGTAGCCTTCAATATCCAAAGAAAATCACCTTTCGTCGCCCAAAAAATTACGAAAATGTCATCCGAAAATAAATTGGCTCAAATAGGTGCTTAATGGACTTATCATCCGTGGAGAATAGGATCAATGGACTTCATTATCGGTGGAGAATAGCCTAGGCATGATTTCGTGATCTGTAGCCTGCAGAATCGAAAATAGTTGCATTTCGGAAAAATCTCCCGAAATCAGTTATGGTACGTACCTGTTTGGAATTTGCCAAAAATTGACCCGGAATAAATCCGCCCAAATCGGTGCTTAATGGACTCAATCATCGTTGAAAATAGCCTCAGGACGAATCCGTGATGTGCAGACTTCAATTTCCAAAGAAAATGGCCTTTCGTAGCCCAGAAAATTACGAAAATGCCATCAGAAAATAATTTGGCACAAATCGGTGCTTAATGGACTTATCATCCGTGGAGAATAAGATCAATAGACTTCATTATCCGTGTAAAATAGTCTCGTCCTGATTTCGTGATTTGTAGCCTCCGGAATCAAAATAAAACGGCATTTCAGAAAAATCGCCCGAAATCTGTGATGGTACCCCTTTAGAATCTACCAAAAATTGTCCCGGAATAAATCCCACCAAATCGAGGCTTAATGGACTCAATCATTATTGAAGAATAGCCTCAAGCCGAATCCGTGATCTGTAGCCTTCAATATCCAAAGAAAATAGCATTTCGTCGCCAAAAAAATTATGAAAATGCCATCCGAAAATAAACTGGCTCAAATAGGTGCTTAATGGACTTGTCATTAGTGGAGAATAGGATCAATGGACTTCATTATTGGTGGAGAATAGCCTCGGCCTGATTTCGTGATCTGTAGCCTCCAGAATCGTAAGAAAATGACATTTAGGAAAAATTGCTCGAAATTTGTGATGGTACCCCTTTGGAATCAGTCAAAAATTTACCCGGAATAAATCCCCCCAAATTGTGCTTAATGGACTCAATCATTGTTGAATAATAGCCTCAAGCCGAATACGTGATCTGTAGCCTTGAATATCCAAAAAAATAGCCTTTTGTCGGCCAAAAAATTAGTAAAATGCCATCCATAAATAAGTTGGCCCAAATTGGTGCTTAATGGACTTATCATCCGTGGATAATAGAATATATAGACTTCATTATCGGTGGAGAATAGCCTCGGCCTGATTTCGTGATCTGTAGCCTCCAGAATCGAAATATGGCATTTATGAAAAATCGCCCGAAATTTGTGATGGTACCCCTTTGGAATCAGCCAAAAATTGACCCGAAATAAATCCCCCCAAATCGGTGCTTAATGGACTCAACCATCGTTGAAGAATAGCCTCAGGACGGATCTGTGATCTGTTGCCTTCAATATCCAAAGAAAATGGCCTTCGTCGCCCAAAAAATTACAGAAATGTCATCCGAAAATAAAATGGCTCAAATCGGTGCTTAAGGGACTTATCATCCGTGGAGAATAGGATCAATAGACTTCTTTATCGGTGGAGAATAGGCTTGGCCTGATTCCGTGATCTATAGGCTCCAGAATCGAAAGAAAATGGCAATTCCGAAAAATCGCACGAAATCTGTAATGGTACCCTTTTGGAATCTGCAAAAAATTGACCCGGAATAAATCCTCCCAAAATGGTGCTTAATGCACTCAATCATCGTTGAAGAATAACCTCAGGACGAATTTGTGATCTGTTGCCTTCAATATCCAAAGAAAATGGCCTTTCGTCGCCCAAAAAATTACGAAAATGTCATCCGAAAATAAATTGGCTCAAATAGGTGCTTGATGGACTTATCATCCATGGAGAATAGGATCAATGGACTTCATTATCGGTGGAGAATAGCCTCGGCCTGATTTCGTGATCTGTAGCCTCCAGAATCGAAAGAAAATTGCATTTAGGAAAAATCGCCCGAAATCTGTGATGGTGTACCCCTTTGGAATCTGCCAAAAATTGACCCAGAATAAATCATCCCAAAACGGTGCTTAATGCACTCAATCATAGTTGAAGAATAGCCTCAGGCCGAATCCGTGATCTATAGTCTTCAATATCTAAAGAAAAGGGCCTTTTGTCGCCGAGAAAATTACGAAAATGCCATCAGAAAATAATTTGGCACAAATCGGTTCTTAATGGACTTTTCATCCGTGGAGAATAGGATCAATGGACTTCATTATCGGTGGAGAATACCCTCGGCCTGATTTCGTGATCTGTAGCCTCCGGAATCGAAAGAAAATGACATTTCGGAAAAATCGCCCGAAATGGGTGATGGTACCCTTTGGAATCTGCCAAAAATTGACCCGTAATAAATCCCCCCCAAATCGATGCTTAATGGACTCAATCATCGTTGAAGAATAGCTTCATGCCGAATATGTGATCTGTAGCCTTCAATATCAAAAGAAAATGGCCTTTCGTCGTCCAATAAATTATGATCCGAAAATAAATTGGCTCAAATCGGAGCTTAATGGACGTATCATCCGTGGAGAATAGGATCAATAGACTTAATTATCGGTGGAGAATAGCCTCGGCCTCATTCCGTGATCTGTAGGCTCCAGAATCGAAAGCAAATGGAATTTCAAATAAATTGCCCGAAATCTGTGATGGTACCCCTTTGGAATCTGCCAAAAATTGCCCGGAATAAATCCGCCCAAATCGGTTCTTAAAGGGCTCAATCATCAATGAAGAATAGCCTCAGGCCGAATCTGTGATATGTAGCTTTCAATATCCAACGAAAATGGCCTTTCGTCTCCCAAAAAATTACGAAAATGCCATCCGAAAATAAATTGGCCCAAATCGGTTCTTAATGGACTTATCATCCGTGGAGATTAGGATCAATAGATTCATTATCCGTGGATAATAGCGTCACCCTGATTCCGTGATCTGTAGCCTCCAGAATCGAAAGAAAATGGCATTTCGGAAAAATCGCCCGAAATCTGTAATGGTACCTCTTTGGAATCTGCCAAAAATTGACCCGGAATAAATCCCCCCAAATCGGTGTTTAATGGACTAAATCATCATTGAAAAATAGCCTCAGTCTGAATTCGTGATCTCTATCCTTCAATATCCAAAGAAAATGGCATTTCGTCGCCCAAAAAATTACAAAAATGCCATCCAAAAATAAATTGGCCCCAATCGGTGCTTAATAGAGTTATCGTCCGTGGAGAATAGTATTAATAGACTTCATTATCGGTGGTGAATAGCCTCGGCCTGATTCCGTGATCTGTAGCTCCAGAATCGAAAGAAATGGCATTTCCGAAAAATTGCCCGAAATCTGTGATGGTTACCCCTTCGGAATCTGCTCAAAATGGACCTGGGAAAAGTACCTCCAAATTGGTGCTTAATGGACTTAATTATCGAGGAAGAATAGCCTCACGCCAAATCCGTGATATGTAGCCTTCAAAATCCAAGGAAAATGACATTTGAAACAAATCTCTAAAAAAATTATGAAAATGTCATCCGAAAATAAAACTGTGAAATTCAGTGCTTAATGAACTTAATCATAGGTGGGGAATTGGATCAATAGACTTCATTATGAGTGGAGAATAGTCTCGGGTCGAATCTGTGATATGTAACCTTCAAAATTGAAAGAATATAACATTTCGGAAAAAATCGCATGAAATCTTTGATGGACACTTTGGAATCTGCACAAAAGGGACCGAAATAAATTCCCCAAATTGGTGCTTAATGGACTTAATCATCAAGGAAGAATAGCCTCAGCCCGAATCCGTGATCTCTAGCCTTCAAAATCCAAGGAAATTGGCATTTTGAAATAAATCGCTAAAAAATTATGAAAGTGTCATCTAAAAATAAATCTACCAAAATCAGTGATTAATGGACTTTATCATCGTTGGAGAATATGATTAATAGACTTCATCACAGTTGGAGAATAGGATCGGGTCGAACGTGATCTACCCTTCAAAATAGAAAGAAAATGACATTTCGGACCGAAATCTGTGATGGTACCTTTGGAATCTGTCAAAAATGGACCTAGAAGAAATCTGTCCAAATCGGTGCTTAAAGGAATTAATCATCGATTAATAATAGTCTCAGATCGAATCTGTGATATGTAGCCTTCAAAATCCAAGCAAAATGGCCTTTCGGAAAAAATTGCCCAAAAAATTACGTAAAATGGCATCCGAAAATAAATCCACCCAAATCAGTGCTTAATGGACTTAATTGTTGGTGGAGAATATGACCAGCAGACTTCATCATCGGTGCAGAATAACCTTGGGCTGAATCCATGATCTACACCTTTCAATATCAAAAGAAAATGACATTTGGAATCTGCCAAAAATTTGCCCGGAAGATATACGCCTAAATTGGTGCTTAATTGACTTAATCATCGGTGAAGAATAGCCTCAGGCCAATTCCGTGATCTCTAACCTTTAAAATCCAAGAAAAATGGCTTTCGAAAAAACTCGACCAAAACATTATGAAAATGCTTCCAAAAATAAATCTGCCCAAATCGAGGCTCATTAGACTTAATCATTGGTGAAGATTGGAGAATATGATTAATAGACTTCATCATCGCCAGAGAATAGTCTATGGCCGAATCCATGATTTGTAGTCTTCAAAATCCAAAGAAAATGGTATTTCGGAAAAATGTCGCGAAATCTATGATGGTACCCCTTTGGAATCTGCCAAAAATGAACCTAGAAAAAATACGCCCAAATCGGTACTTAGTAGACTTAATCATCCGTTAATAATAACCTCATGCCAAATCCGTGATCTGTAGTTTCAGAATCCAAGGAAAATTACATTTCGAAAAAATCGCCCAAAAATTATGAAATTCCCTCCGACGAAAATCCTATCAAATCGGCGATTAATAGACTTCTTCATCGGTGGAGAATAGCCTCCAGGCCGAATCCATGATATGTAGCCTTCAAAATCAAGTAGAATGGCCTTCCGAAAAAATCATCTGAAATCTGTGATGGTACCCATTTCGAATTTGCCAAAAATCGAACTAGAAAAAATCCGTCCAAATCGGTGTTTAATAGACTTAATCTTCGGTGAAGGATAGTCTTAAGGCGAATACGTGATCTGTAGTTTTCAAATTTTTAAAAAATTGCCAAAAAAATTACGAAAATGTCATAAAAAAGAATAATGGATAACATATAATTCTTTTTAATAAAAATAACATTTAATTGTATACTAATATGCATTTTAGTATTGTTTATATATTTTTAATCATGCAATCCACTTTAATATATATTTTAATAAAAATAACATGTAATGGTATACTAATATGCATTTTAGTATTGTTTATATGTTTTTGGAGATTCTAGCATGTATTGTAGTTATCAATAACCATGAAAGTCCGTCATAAGCCTTGAATACGAGAATATCATGTGTTTTATAAATAAGGGTTATCGGAATTGAAACAAAAAAATTCTCGGTAGCAAAAGACTTTGATATCATATCAAGAGTAAATTTATCTAATCAATTATTGTGAGAGATTCAATAATGAATCTTATAAGACACCCTAATGCTATAATAGATTTATTGGATGCTCTCTTTTTCCAGATAATGACCAAACCAATTAAAATCATCAGAAAATAAATATGAATTTGTCAAAAAAAAAAAATGAATTTCTGAAATTGTATAATGTAAATGTCACTTAAACAAGCAAAATTGTAAACAATTTTGCACGAGAATTTGATCAAACTAGTGGTAAAGAGAAAAATGAAAACAGAGATAGCAACATCCCAACATAAACACTCTGTAAATTCCAAGGCATACCGCATACACAAATCGATCAATACAACCTGTGAAAAAAATGATGAGTTAGTGGATATCCCAAATAAATCGTTTCCCTCGGATCCATTCATACAATCATGGAGGTCGGGGAAAAGCTGCAGCTAGCAGCTCCTCTTTCATCCTCTTGTTTACTGCAGGGCGTCAGCAGCCAACAGCTCCTCTCATTTCTCTCGATTCAGAATCAAACAATGGCTCGAACTAAGTCATCCCTGAGACCCTGACCAGAAATCAAGACCCTTTCAACCTCAGGAGGGTCTCTCTTCTCTCCATGCTAACCTCTTCTCTGCGATTCATTAATCCTCGCGCATATCAGTTCGTCTCCTGGCTTGCATCGCCAGCCTGGCATCCCTCTCCCTCTCGAACTCCCTATAGTCTGTTCGTTGCAGGAACGATTGCTTATCCAAATACTGGTTTGAGCTCTTCTTGTACGTTTCTAGCTCGTCTTCAAGCCCTTTATTCTCCTCCTTGAACTCTCCCCAGTCTTTCTTCGTCTTGTCCAGCACACTCAGCTTTTGTTTCTTCTTGATTTGTTCGAGCACAGCATCCACGGCAGAGGGTGCTGCAGCTGCTTTCCCCTTTTCGGCTGCCTCTTTTGACTCCGCATCAACTAGCTTCTTCACCTCGATATCACGACCAGCAAAATCCCGAACCTCCATTATCTGCAAAAGTCAAAAAGCCTTCTGTAAGTTGGTACCAAACTCGTCGAGCTCGGAAGTCATTGCTATAGTGCACACCGAGAGATGATGGGAACACTTTAATTCTAGATGCATACGGCATACCTCTTGGATCAGTTACATATATGGTCTCTGAACGTTTAGGTCATCGATAAACTGGTCACTCTATCTTTTAACTAACTGAAGTTTGAAAAAACTAACATTAAATTCATTTTGTTCATCTCCATTACATCTATCCAAATTGACCCGAGTAGTGTGCTATCTCACCCTAACAAAGAATCAAAATGTCATATAGTCCATATAGCTGACTTGGGACGACCTACTTTTAACTCATACACGATCCAAATCAAACCATTGCTTGACCCTGTTCCTACCAACATCACCCAGACCACCCTTATCCTTATCCTTTCCTACTCCTACTCCTAATTAAAGGGTTTATATAACCTTTTCTTATTAACAATAAGGCTACTCGAGGCGCTGATTTCAATTCTCAACAGTTTAGATGAAAAACTCGACGGAGATGGATAGGAAAGTTGTTACCCAAGGCACTAGCTATTCGACGCTTTGGCAAAACATAGCAGTTAGCCTGCTACTTAAGGTGCCCATATCTCTCAGAACTATTACAGTGAAACGGCTGGGACAGTTCTTCCCATCAAGCAAACATGACCTTGACGTGTATATGATAAGCTAACTTAGCTCAAACTGAACAGTCCTCAGAGTTTAGATATAATTGGCAGACAGCTAATATGGTAAATAAGATCAAAGCCCACCTCAACTTTTCCCTTGAGCGCGGCAGCAGCTGCAGCATCCTTAACTGCGGAGAGAGCAGCAGCAGCAAACTTCTTGGCCTCCTCACTTGTGCTTGTACGCAAACCATTAGGTTTCTCCTGTGATGATGCCTCCAGTGCCGATGATTGTGCCGCCTGCTTTGTTCCCAAACCGAGATAATTCTTCCAGCTCTATGAAAATAACCAAAGTAACAACTTAATTTAGACATTAAATATAAAAGCTTCATAGAGAGATAAAAATATTAGAGAAGTTCTCACATCAGACTTCTTTTGCGAAGTTTGATCCACACTTGTACTAGACTTGTTTGGAGAAGACACGACTTCCTTGCTAGGTATTCTCTTATTCAATTCCTCTGGTGATCCCTTTTGTTGCGCATCATTTGCAGGAGATCCATTTGTCTTTGGTGTTAGACCTAGATATGTCATCCAATTCTTGAAAAAATAATAACAAGTCAGGCTTTCAACACCAAATACTCTCTTGAGGAAAACAGGAAGAATGGTTATTCTTACATCATTGGGCTTCTGTAAGGAAGTATGAGTACGCTTCTTTGATTCATGCTTAGCGTTCTTATTGAATCCCTTGTTCATTTGCTCCCACAAAACTCCTACCCGAGCTTCCACGCCTAGAAAACCCATCCACTATAATGTTAGTTCACCAGCAAAGTATTACTTAACGGACAGCAGTCGGGAAATCAATAAACCAAGTAGCCATAAGCTCTTACCACTTTCTTCAGGTTTTGGCTCTGAAGTTGAAGCTGCATTAGCATCTTGCAAATCATCCACATGGGAACCCATCCTCAACCACTTTTAACCTCCCCGAAAGACAAGAGCAATCTATTCCAGCCAGAAAGAAAACAATGACAAACACTAATTGACAACTCCGCCCATTCACATAAGCACATTGCAAGCATATATAGATTTCTTGAACCAGAGAAAGCCACATTAATAGGTTGGAAATAACAATCAAAAGAGCAACTATGCAGAATGCATTCCTACAGAAACACAGCTGGGCTGCTGGAGATCCAACTGATGCTAGGCTACCTCCTATAAACCTATAACTAGCGATTTGGAGAAAAGACTGGAACAAAACTAAGATTTCCATTCCCCTGAGACTTCAGTTCGATGAAGTGCACCAGAAAATCACTGTTATGGTAGAAGTTGCAAGGTCGGAGCTAAACAAGGAACTCGAAGAATCAAAGGCTAACACCGCAGCTATCTTCTTTTGGTAGAAACAGCTATCTTTACTATCCTCAACTTCCGGAGTTTTCGAATTGAAATTAACACACGATTCTCAACTGACGATTAACAGTTGATTCCAATATAATTCCCCACTTTGCAACGCCATAATCGAAATCTATACGAGAACGGAACCTTTTGCGGATCGAAAGCAAACTCAGACGCGCGAAGCAGAAAACTTTTGCGGCAATGCTCTAAGGCTATCTTCCCACCTTCTCTTCTGCTTTCCTCCTCTCCTCCAGCTCGAGAGATCTTCGGCGATAGAGTAAGCTTCTGGATTTCGCTTATCTCGTCAGGATTCTGCTGTCGTCTCTTTCGTCAATTCCCGTCGCTGTTCGCTTCAGCCGTTTGCCATTCACGAGAGATGGAGTCCTTTCCTTAATCAGTGTCGACGAAACTCTCTAGCACTCTCGAGTCTCGACCCGGACCGGAGTGCTTTCATTGAAACGGCGTCGCTTCTTTGATCAGTTCACATACATGTTTTTTATTTGAGTAATATCTATTTTTTTATCCTAACCTTTTCAAAAAAATTTATATTATCCAACCTATTAAAATTCTATTAATTAGTTAAATCTATCACAATGCATTAAAATATTAGCCTTTTTTACGTTATTGTTAATAATATTGTAACTCTTTTCTTAATTAAAATACTAAAATTTTAGAATGTTGACCTTTATGTGATTCTTCCAAGTCAGTATCATGTTGCCAAGTCAATATTACTAACAAAATTTTAACATTTGGCTAATTTTAGTATTTCGATAGGTTTGGATGATATAAAAGAATCTGAAAAAAAGTTTGAATAAAAAATAAACATTACCCTTTTTATTTTGAAAGATCTGGCTCTGACATGTTCGAAAAATTTGGCTAATAATTGTGTCTACTCATGAATCAATTCAAAAGTTCATATCGATTAGTTGATGAGCTGGAAGTCAAACGAGCTCAATAGCCATATTATCGAGCTAGCTAATGAGTTCAAAACGAGCTAGCTTATGAGTTGAAATTAACAAACCACCAAATCGAATTTACTTATGAGTCTCGGGAGTTCAATAAATTTTAATTCTAGTTCAATTCGTAAGTGAACGAAAAGAGTGTTAAACAAGTTTTTCTCGAGCCGAATGCCAAGCAACTTGTGAGCTACTCGGGTCAGTCCGTATTTGTTACTGGGAAGCCCATTGAAATAGGTGCAACAAAGCAAAGCCCAAACCCAGTTAAGTCTCGCGGTCTAATCTCAATATCTCATCATTTTCTTATCCGGCTGAGCGGAAAAACAGAAACTGGAAGCCATCCACGTAAACTCTGAACCAGAGGGAAAGGAAACCAGCAACAGTGAGCTAGCAATGGCGTCAATCGCCCAGCAGCAGTTCGCCGGACTCCGATGCCCGCCGCTCTCGACTTCTCACCTCGCCAGAAGAGCTTCCGCCCTCGGAGCTTCTTCCTTGCCGACTTCTCGTTCCAGCAGAAAGTCCAATTTCATCGTTTCGGCCGCCACCATATCAAATGCACAGACCAAAGAGCGACAAGAGCTCAAGCAGCTCTTCGAGGACGCTTACGAGCGCTGCCGTACCGCTCCCATGGCAGGAGTTCCCTTCACCGCCAAGGATTTCATCGCTGCTCTCGACAACTACGACTTCAATTCCGAGATTGGCACCAAGGTTTCCCTTCCTCTTCTCCCTTCGCTCTTTTTCCTGATTGAAATGCGCGAATTTCAAGCTCTAGAATCTAATGTGTAGGGATTTTTATCCAAATGTTCTTGTTCAGGTGAAGGGAACGGTTTTCATGACCGACGCAAATGGCGCATTCGTCGACATCACTGCGAAGTCTTCCGCGTATTTGCCACTGCAAGAGGCGTCCATTCACAAGCTGAAGCATGTGGAGGAAGCTGGCATAGTGCCTGGAATGAGGGAAGAGTTCGTAATCGTGGGTGAGAATGAGGACGATGATAGCTTGATCTTGAGCTTGAGGATGACTCAGTATGATCTCGCTTGGGAAAGGTGTAAGCAGCTTCAAGCTGAGGATGTCATTGTGAAGGGTAAGGTGAGTAACTTCGATCTTCGGCTCTCTTGAAGTTTTCCCACTATTGAATTTTGCTGTGCTTCATTGTCAAACCAGTGTGGGAAAATGTTTAATTTCGTCTTTTGCAGGTTGTTGGAGCAAACAAAGGAGGAGTGGTTGCTGTGGTGGAGGGCATTCGAGGATTCGTACCATTTTCGCAGATCTCATCAGTGAGTTTTCTGCATTATGGATAATCCTTTTAACATGTCTAGGGCTTGATTCTGTGGTTGCACATTACCATTTCCTCTGTGGTGTATTAGTCAATGGAAGCTCAATTTGAAGGATTGCTTGATCATCCCATGATTCGAAGTTTCGACTTTTACCCTGCAGAAATTAACAGCGGATGAGCTCCTAGATAAGGAGCTACCATTGAAGTTTGTTGATGTCGATGAGGAACAGTCTAGACTTGTATTCAGCAACAGGAAGGCCATGGCTGATAGTCAAGCGCAGCTTGGTATTGGATCGGTGGTCACTGGAACGGTGCAGAGTCTGAAACCGTACGGTGCCTTTATCGATATCGGTGGAATCAATGGCCTTCTCCATGTGAGTCAGATTAGTCACGATCGTGTGGCTGACATTGCAACTGTTCTTCAACCTGGGGACACTCTCAAGGTTAGTATAGTCATCGGTTGATACTTGCATCGTCATCATATTCATTATTCAGGTCCCTTCCCGAGAGAGAGACAATAAGTTTTCTTGTCATGCAGGTCATGATTCTAAGCCATGACCGTGAGAGAGGTCGTGTGAGTCTTTCTACCAAGAAGCTGGAGCCCACCCCTGGCGATATGATCCGCAATCCCAAGCTTGTCTTTGAGAAGGTAATACTGAGAACTTACTTTAAGGTTTCTGGCTCGTGTTAGCCACTTCGGTATATCAATTTTCAGATCACAGGATCCTTATCCTCTGAAAAATTCTTCAATAGGCTGAGGAGATGGCCCAGACATTCCGGCAGAGAATCGCTCAAGCGGAAGCCATGGCACGAGCTGATATGTTAAGATTTCAGCCCGAGGTAAGAGTGAATAATGTGCAGTTGCAACTTCATTACCAGATCAGTACCTATAGGAGCTGAGAAAGAAATCTCATTTAACACAATTTTGCCTTCTTTTCGTAATGCAGAGTGGACTGACCCTAAATTCCGATGGGATACTTGGGCCATTGACGTCCGACATGCCTGCTGAAGGTTTAGACCTGGGCGAGCTTCCTCCAGAGGAAGACTGATCATTCTTGTCTCGTTATCTTTCCTCTGTTGTAATGCAAAATGCGCCTAATTTGAGATCATTCATAAGCGCCAAGCATCCCACTTCCAGTGCAAAGATTGCAAATAAGTTGGTAAATCGTATATGCACTTTGTACTTATGAATGATAGTAATAGAAATCTCTCTTTCAACCAAATTTCCCACAACAAAATCTGTCATTTGTTGCGTACACGCAATCCAGTTCAAGTATTAGAACAACAAAAGCCCCTGCTGGTTTTACTACTTGTTATCCTTCTTGTCGTTCTTCTTCCCTTTCTTTTGCTTCTGCTTCAACTGCGACAACCCAGCAGCACTGATCTTTACGTTCCCAATTATTGCGGCAAATAGTTGTGGATCAGTACACGCCTTCATCAGTTCTTTCTCCCTAGCGCTTGCCTCTGCCGTATGGTTAAACAAGTTCATTGCAGTTTTCGCAGCTGCGCAAGTTACAAAGGAAGCCCATAGTTAGCCAAATACACAATCACAATTGCTTTAGCTTAGACTCTAATCCTCAATTTTCGTTTTACTTTGATCCGGTCCTAAGTCAAATCTGGATCAGACCGAGTCATGCACACCTCAGGACGAAACAGATTAAGCTAGGCTAACTTTTTACCTTTGCCCTTCTTTGCAGAGCCAGGAATGATCTTGACTCGGTACTTGTATGATTGCAAGGCGGTGTAAGGCCCACAGACTGGGACGGCATACAAGAGAATATCATTAGGCAGGGGGTTCCCGGTCAAGTAATCCACATCATTCAGCTTCTCCTTCTCTTCTTCACCAATTTCGTGAATATCATCCTCCTCCATGACCACCTTATCCGCTTCCTTAGCCAACTCACGACGAGGCTTACTTTCACCTTCACCGTTTGGTCGACTCCGAGAATTTTCATCATGGAGCTCCGGGCAGTCGCGAGATAAATGTCCAGTCTTTTTACACTTGTAACACACTTTTGGAGCATCTTCGAGACCTGCGAGATTGGAAATGGATGTTACTTGTCGCAATGGCATGATTATTATTCTGCATAATATTATGATAGAAAAGTGGAAAAAGACATGGGGGACTCCATTTATCTGAGTGCGTACTGAAATACTTCCCTCCATGTGTTTGAGATTGTATCATTTTACTAATTTCACATTACATGGACAATTTCAAATACAAAAAAACGCATCAGAAGTGTCATCGAAAGCATCATCCAATTAGAAGTAGTGAAGTACTGCAAGACTTACCACTGACTGGTACCTTCTCCTTCACAGGAACTGTGTTCTCTTGTGGCGACTCCTCGTCCTTCTTCTGTGCATTGCCTGCTGACTGAAACATGACCGTTGTATCATTCGATCAGTAAGTAGAAGCTCAAAGAAACTTTACTTGTGAAGGGCTTAGTTTACAGGTAATTATTCAGATTTCTGATATGAGAATAACATGGTTAATGCAGGATCCATAGTCAGGGCAGTAAAACTCACAGCCAACAGTGCCATCCGAATCCGCCTCTCTTCCTCATCCTGATCAGCATACTTCTCTTTCATCTTCTTAAGCTTGCCTTTCTGCCCACGGACTTTTACACCACCAGGTTTACTACTCGGGACATTTTTGTAAGATTGATCAACAGATGCACCAGCAGCGTCTTTTGCTTCTTCTTTCGGATGGTGATCCATGTCAGAATGACAACCAGCTCTCCCTCCTTTCTTCTGCTTCCTTCTTTCAGCTTTTGAGATATACGGTTTATCTCTCCCTGTTGCCTTCCTATCTTCCTCATCATGTTCCTCTTCTAATTTAGTTTGAGCTGCTGCTTCAACTGCATAGTTTCTTCCAGATGTAGTAGTTGCGCCAATCCCAAGAGCCCTATCGAAGATATCCTCAAGTTGTGGAGTGACAGAAGCAACACCATTTCCACTAGGATTGTCACTCGGTTCTGAACTGGAGACAGTACAGTCATCAGGCTTGGTATCTACTTCTGTTCCCTCTTGATCGGAATCCGAATCAGACATTTCCTCCTCGAGAGGACCACTTTCAGTAATAATATCACTCGTCCCATCCTCCTCGCCTCTTACCCTTCGTTCATTCAGATGAGCACCCAAAGAGCTCTCGTCTAAGCGGAATAACAAACCAAATCCCATGATGAGAGGATGAGGGGGGAGATAGTTCTTCTTTCCACGGATCATGAAGCTTCCAACCGTGAGATATTCTCCCGTGGGAGCAGTCTTGCTCACCTGGTGAGGGTACACCCACCATGCACTAGTGACAATTTTTGAATCCCAAGCTTGGCTGTGGCAGACCTGCAATTTACAAACAAACCTTAAATTAGTGTATTTGGTTTGTTGTATTTGCAAATAGTGTTGTTTGTCTCCATCAATTCACTTTTAATTTGTTCTTCCCAAGTTATTTGCTTTTTAGCAAATGCTGAAACAAACACACCCCATAGAACTTAGGATGAACAACTTACAGTAAAACATCCAGCTTGATTTAAAGTCAAAGGAGGAACTGCTTGGTCGGGCCTATGATTCTTGATCACTGTACTAGAAGCACCATGTAGCTCAGCATGAACATACCTGTTCAACAGGGGAACTGAATAATAAGTTTCTTTTGCTTTCAAATATCTGCAGTTGATGATATACGTCCTCCAACAACAAAAAGCTTTAACATTATCTCAGTGAGGGATTTGAATAGGATGAAAGCACACTCACAGATCTCCCTTTGACATGTACCGCTTCACTATCATTTCATTCTGTTGAGCATCACGTCCACTAATAACTAGATAGTTCTCACTGCTGATAAACCAATTAAATTTCTCAAACCAATGAACTTTCCGCATATGCGATATTGTAGCAACAGCTTTCTCCTGCATATAAATTACTCAGAAATCAACATGACATACAGCCTTATAAAAGAAAAGGCCAGATGTAAAAACTGAAATCTCATATTAGGCAGCTACCTGAGAAAGCTGAATACGAGTCTTTCTCTCAGCTGCTTTAAAAGCTTTTTCATGCGCCTTAACAGTCTTTTCCTGCTTACTTTCTTGCTTTTTCTTCATTTCATACCACCTACGAGCATTGGCATGAGCAGAAAGAGCTATATCCACTTCTACCTGAAAGCAGAAACATATCAACAACTAGAATATTTTGTTGAAAAACCTATAGCAGAAAATGCTGCGATCAAATAAGATCTTGGGAGCAATATGCTGAGGTGACAAAAGACGGCAATACAAATTGATAAACCAAAGCATCAATCACGACCATTCAACCTTATCTGCTGGAATATTTTGTTGAAACAACCTATAGCAGAAAATGATGCGCCCAAATAAGATCTTGGGAGCAATATGCTGAGGTGATAGAAGACGGCCATAACAAATTGATACGCAAAAGCATCAAACATAACCATTATAACCTTATCTGCAGGAAGAGTCTTCTCATCATCATCCATTTCATCAAGATTGTTGCTCAGCAGCAATGTCATGCAGTTCTTTTCAAGATGAAGTTTGTCAATAAGCGCAGCCACAGGATTCCCTGATTTCCTTTCTTCCTTTACCATACGAGCAAGATCCTCCCAACTCATTCCTTTGGCAAGAGCAACACGAACAGCAAGGATGGCAGCATCAACATCTTCCAAGTTGTACTCTATCAGTTCCGCCATTTTAACAAATTGATCGACTTCTTTCCTAAGGTTCAGCACACGGCTTTCCTACAACATATAGAATTGAGAATTTGAAACCTCGGTAGATACAAACTTTTGCTTAAAAGGCCAGGATGAAGAAAAATAGAAATAAGTTATTTCTACTCTTTACTTGTGTTCTTCACCAAAAAAAGATCTGGGACCATCAAGATGACAGGTAAAGAAATCCTTGCTCTGATAAGCTATCAGGCTATCAGTAAAGGAAACAATCTTCTCAACAGATCACCTTTAATGGATTATGAGAATCAGAAATGTGCATGAAATCGAAGAAAAGTTATTAATTCAAGCACATGTTGAAATAAACCAGTATTTTCATATATCACAACACCACACAAAATGCTCTGAAATGCAACTGGAGTTTGCACTATAACAAACATGACATAAAATGCCAACAGAAAAAGAAAAGGCATAATCTCCATCGACTTTATAGAAAAAATAGCAAACAAAAATTCAGAAAAACATAGTAATGTAATATACACACCTGATCTGTGCGTATCTTATTTAATTTTTGAACGGCAGAGTCTTCTTTTGCCTTCTGCTGTAGCTCTGATCTTTGACTCTCAATTTTGCTATAAAACTCATCTAGTGCTGCATCGAATGTATCAAACTTCTCATGTTCCCTTGTTTTGAACTGGTTTAACAATATTGGGCAGAACTCGTCGTACATCTGCAGTGGATAGCAAAACTGTGAGTTTCAAGCAACAAGACCTAAAACTATCTATGTCTTCTGCACTAGCTCTAGTCCTTATGAATCGTAGTAATTTCCTTTTTCATAATTAAACTTTATACTAAAAAAGTTATAGATAGCATAAACCATCTATGTCTTCTGCATCTTCTGTTAGGAACCCAATGACCACGAATAAGGAAAAAAGAAAACACTAGCATGGAAAGCATGCATGAAGATGAGAGACTAAGAACTAAAACAAAATCAACCTTGATATGGCCACCAGATTCAGATGCTGCACTGTTTCTGCCTACATTGTCTTTTTGCATCAAAATGTATCCCTCTGGAATTGTTTCTCCTGAAATAATGTCTTGAAGCCAATCTTCAAATCTTTTGACGGCCTCAATCAAAACATGTATTGCATCTTCATCTAACTTGTTACTTGCAGAAAGCTTTGTATTTGGAGCTAGACCAGCATCTAATATCATATGCTCAGATAGTTGAGGACCATAACCCAATGCTTCCCCAAGAACAATCTTCAGTGTGACTTGTTTAGCATCAGAATTTTTTTTCGACTCAGAAGCTTTGCCACCTTTTTGCTTACCCTGCTTTTCCTTTTTGGGTCTATCAGTAACTTCAGCTTCACCACCATCAACTTTAGCAGAATCAGTTTCCTCGGGTTTATCAACACGTGCAAGGGCATCCTGCAACTTTGTTGCAGTAGTTCGCTCAAAAACTCGAGAAATTTCAACAGGATATCGGTGCCTTGACATGATTGCAATCCCTTTATCATCATCTCTGTCGAGGAAAAGATTTCATCATTCAAATGATAGATTTCTCAAAAATAAGCTACTAATCAATTCATGGTAAAATGATAAAGTCGGAGATAAGTAGAAATCACCAACCTATGTGATCGGAGAAGAGTCAGAACTTGATAATCAGGATCAGTGAGAAGGATGTTCCCTTGAGCATACAACTCCAATATCACGTAGTGTGCATTTGCACCAAGCCCGAATTGAAATAGAATAATCTGAGAATGGAGATAACAGTTATAGGATATCATGATGCTTAGAGAGCATAGTGCTAAACAACCAAACCGAAAGGACTTCCAGTAGTTTCATACCCTATCATATCCAAGCTGCCGCACATCCTCTAGGCGCCTTGTGCGTATATGCTTCCTCAACTTAAGTGTGAACCCCGAAGGAGTATTACTCTTATCCCTATAGTTCACATTCCATCAAACCAGTTAAAGCTAAACAAGCAATCAACTGCATAAACCTGAATTGATAAGTGAAATCCAATCTAATATTCCAAAGACTACATGCTATATAACACAAATTAAGCAAACTAGGACCGTTCCAACACATTTCAGCCATTGATGACGACCTGCCACGAAGAAATGGAGCTTGCCACTTGGCAGACGAACTAACACAAACAGTAAAGAGCAAGAACGTAAGGGATGATTTACCGAACATAAGCGGTGGTATGTAAGCGAACGCCGCTTTCCATAAGCAGCAGAACCTTCTCGCTCTCTCCTGACTCCGTTTGTCCGCTGCTGTTCATCAGCTTGAAAACATACGTCTGTAATCACAAGCAAACGAGTTCTGAATTCTGAATTCAAATAGTAATCAAAAGAAACCGCAAGCGTAGACGAGAGAGAGAGGGAGGAGAAGAGGAACCTTGGGAGTAAGATCATAGACATTGGAGCACCGCATGCCGATGAGCCGCCGCAAGCACTTGACCTCGGCGGCCACATCGGCAGTGTTCATCCGCACCTTCACCATTTTCGCTCCCCTTTCTCCCGGCCGTCCGCTTCACGAATTGCGTCAATAGCTGCTTGGCTCTCCTCCCTCTTTCCGCGGAAATGATCCTGCTCGTCGTCCACCGCCGCACCAAATCTCGTGATTCTTCGGGCAGGCAGCGTGCCTGATGCGAGTCGACGGGATACCAAAGGCTGGGTTTCTCTACTTCTATTGGGCTCAGAGGCATGAACAATAATGGGCCTTCTCTTTTGTTTTGACAATTGTTGTGCTTATATTCTCGACCCAGTAAAGAGAGACCACGGGTCAAAACCTTTCCGTATTACTCCGAAACATATCTCGTAACGAATCAATTTGGCAAAATTGTCTTGTTTTGAGATAATTGTTCCAAATTAACTCGTTTGTCAGCAAAAAAAATTGGATGGATAAATTACCTAATGTATTTTGAATTGATTCATTCTCAGTCAATTTCATTTGTCTGAAGAGAGAGCAAATCATTTGAATTGACTCATTTTAATTGTCTTATTTATAAAATAAGTCAATTGATAAAATTGTCTAAAATTGTCTCAATTTTAGATGGATCCATCCAAAACGACACCTAATTGTATTAGTATGATTTTTTTTTAACTTAGGTAATTTGGAATGGCCGAATGGGATTTGGCGATGGATTTAAAGGAATCTTATGGGTAGTTGGAGAACTCTGATAATTTTGATCCACAAAAATGGATGCAACATTTTTTTGTCAACAAAAAAAATGGATGCAACATTAGACTTCATGGTCATGGATATAAAATGATAGAATCACACAAGAAACTTTCTACCGAGTTATTCGCTTACAATTTCTGTACAATCCATATTTTCAAATACTGATGTTTATTGGAAATTAGCTACTTATCAACAACACTATTTATTTTCGAAACTTGGGGAAAAAAGCGGTCGAGAAGTCTGTTGTGATTCATCAACACTTCATGCCCCAATGGCCAATGCCATGATCAATGGACAACTCTAGCTAAGCATCAACCTCAGTTGTCAGCAAAAACTGAGACGTGGAGATCAAACAGAATGTACAGACTAGAGACCATTTGGAGGATTCTAGAGAAATACAAATCCACAGTCCTAGATCCAAGAAGGATACAGCTTTCATTTCATTACAACCCTCCATATCTAACCTTGAAATATATACACCTTTGTGCCAGTTTCCAAGTCCGTCAATGTAGGATCTTCTGCTGTAGAATTGTTGTCTCGCTCTCCTGCCAAGAAATTTTCGCCTCTAGCAACGAGGAACTATACAATACCAACATTACATAAGCTTCGCAGAAGCAGTAGTTCTGGCGAGACCAGTCGCGCTCTCCTCCATGACTGACCACCTGGTCTTAGCATGGTTTGCATTCAGCTGAGATCAAAACCAGCCTCTGCATTAATTGCATACAGCAATTTTGCTTCCATTTGCTCCTTGCTGTGAATGGCACGAAATATGAGAAGCCGAAGCATAACTCGAACATCCAGAGATTGATAGTTTTCTGTTCTGCAAGAGCTTGGGAATGAATGGAACAAACCTTCTGTAAGGAGGAAGCTTTAGTAGATTCATGCAGGTAGCTGATGTCGGCAACCGGTCAAGAGCTTCATCAGAGGCATTACCAGCAGCCCTGTAAGCAAAAGTTCAAGTTTGAAAACTTATCAAACAGTTTGTTTTAAGAGAGAGAAAAAAAATATTTATCATACCATTAAAGCAGGCATCCTCCGTGGTCACTAATTACCTCTGTATGCAAAATAAGGGCTCCAGGTATTTGAATCCAAGCAACGGTCCTCGAGAGCAACCAGTAACAAACCTGAACATTGGATGTGAAAATTTAGAATCTCATACTGAGGTTTGCTAGCTTCTCTAACACCAGTGAAGTAATGCTGTAGCTCATCTAACTACAGAAACATGAAATAATGATGGGAAACAGAGTACAAACATACTTCAGAAATTTCTTTTGATTCTCTAATGAAAAGCCTTTGATGACGTCCCAGAACATGTCGATAACATAATGCTCCTGTACAGATAGATTAGAGTTAGTATAAGCTTGCAACTGCAGGTTTCTCTTTCACATCATTACTCGTAACTACCACTATGTTCCTGTCATATATTGTCAGAGAACATCTAGTTATAATTGTTGCTTACTTTGTGATAACCACCAGCATAGTTGGCGTGAGTGAGAAGATCATCAACATCCAAACTTTCGAGTGAACCAGATATCAAGAGCTGTTTCCAGATTAACATTTGACAAAGGTCAAATTCACAGCAAAAAAGAATGATAGTTCATGAGGCCAATTAATATGGACTGAAGCATTTGTAAGAGGATAAAGAAGGTTTCAATTATCGTGCATGGCTACCCATCAGTATTGAGAAAAACAGACAACCAGAAGATGATGTAGCTTATTCAATTCATATTAAAGATATAGGTGTAATTGCTAACAATGTCAACACAATTGAAAGGGTTACAATTGTTATGTGTAAAATGGTGATTGCAGAATCTTCTCCTGAACCAGGAACCACAAAATTCAGATTGAAATATTAGAACCATATCCCAATTAGAGAAGACAAAACAAGATGTGATGCAAAACAATTCAGATATCATAATCAAATAACTATTTTCTATGACTCACAACCATAGGCACATCCAACCTTGCATATTATCAGATTGGAGATTAAAATGATAAAATCACCAAGAATACCTGAAGTTCGTGCTCGTTGAACATATCTATCCAATCTTTCTGTATGAGCTGTTGAAAGCCCCTCAAGAAATGAGAGCTTTGCTGTCGTATCTGTGCTTCACATCAAGATCATGGTCAACATTTAGAAAATGGAACTTGCCTGCGAAATAAATATTTGAATGAGTAGGATGAATTCACTACCTGGAAATTCAACCGATGATTGGAAACAAGATGAATGAAGGTGATGACGTTCTCATTAGTAACACGCAAATTTCTGCCCCCAGGAAGAAGCTCTTCTTCCGTTTGTTCTCCGTATTCATTATTCACAATAACAAAGTAGAGCTCCAACCCTGCAATGTCACCTTGATAATGCTGGACATAATACATGTAAACAAAAAAGTGTGAAGACAAAGAAACAACATAAGGGATATAACATTCTGAGAACTGCAAGGAATCAATAATAATATTTTATTCTGCAAATTGTAGCAGGCAGTGCCAGGATAAAAATCCAAAAACTATCCAACACTTCGTCCACACACATCATTTCTCTTATCTGTTCAGTAAGGATGGAGCAGTGGAGGAAACATCACTGTTCAGCAAAGCAGGTAAAAAACTAGTAACGGTACCTTAAGGAATATAAGGTGGCGGTACAATTCTGGATCTAGCGAGGGCAAATCATTCAGATAGTTAAACCTGGCAAAAAGCAGAAGAATTTATTAGAGATAATAAACACATTGTATTTCAGATACCATAGCATGAACTCCCAAAAAAAAAAAACTAGGCGATCACTTAGAATCACAAAAGACAATTGCGAAAGAGACTTGAACACATACTTCTGCTTCAGTTTGCTCAGGAAGAATGTGGCGAATGGAATATCAACCAGAATACCTTCAAACATAGCCTGCATAAGAGAAGTGTAAGGATAGTAGACAGCTAGCTAAACAATTGAAGGAGGGCCACAAAACAAAATTTAACTCTAATTCCAGAGGAGCATGATAGAAACTAGTTGCCTGAGGAACATGAATCCTACCTACCAATGCTGTTGCAACAATGCATGCATACTCTTTAATTCCAGAGGAACATGATGACACTAGAAACTAGTTGCCTGAGGAAGATGAATCCTACCTACCATGCATACTAAAGGTATACTACCCTAAGGAATCAAGTTTATCAAGGACATGTGAACTAACACCTAACTAGCAGTCACACCAAGCACTATGAATTTTACACAATTTAAATTCCAATGCATTCACACCTTTGCAAGCAAAGACCCAAGGAAATGGAAAAATTGCAGATGTTGCTCGTGTATCAATCCCGATCCAGGATTAGGATATAGAAGATGGTCAACTGTTTCCTGCAAACAAATCCACCCACGACATCAATATAACCAAGAACAAACTAGAAAAAGATTTATTTGCTGTGTCCGAGACACTGGTCACAGCCAAATATATGTCAATGCAAAATGACATGATAGTCTCCTCCAACTCTCCGAAGACGCTCCAGTATACCAATCTAATTATTTCTAGGTTGATTATAGATTCTGCCACGCACCCCAAAATCAGTGGTGCAGATTAATTACTTAATAAAGATAACGAGTTCTCTATGCAAAATAAACCTTGAATAAACCATACTGCACATCAAATGCAGCTCGAGTTATGTTTTCCATGAAATCTTTGAAGATCCCACCACCATCAATGCCAGCTTCCTCCACTCCGAGCTCATTGACGAATGTCACACGTATCTGTAAGTCAGCAGTATAACCACATTGCCCAGTCAGTTTTTGGCTAAGATTACGGATTTATATATGTTGGATATTAACATTACCAATCCTCGCAAATCCTCTTCTGATAGTGCACTCATTTGATTATAAGCATCTTCTAGAATATGGTCTCGTCTTATTCTAAATCTGTTTCTTGCGAAAACACCATGAGGCCCATGTCTTTGCTTGATTGCCACTAGTTGCGACTGCCATACAGTTTAAAACACAAATGAACAGCAAGTCACTGACTTTTCCTCGTGGAGGACAAAGACATATGCTTAAGATAAATAAAGAGACAGAATAGTAATAACCATGTGCTCTAGGATGCAGTACAATTCAGATTAGAAAGACAGCTAGAATCACTTACATTGAATATCTTGACCCTGCTTGTGAAAGGAATCAGAAAAGGAGCTAGCTTCATTATTTCATTTGCTTTAGTTCCATCTATTACAGCCTAAAAGAAAAAACAGGTTAGCCCATCACCAAAGCAAAGCTTTCATCTAGGGCACATGGCTCGTCAGATGTTATTACCTGAGAAATAAAGAAATCATCAACACCATCCGCATGGAAATCACTTGGTGGTGCAAATTCCCTTCTGTTATTCCAATCTTGCAACTGCAAACAAATAATAAACTTAAAGCAGTCAAGAGCAAGCATTAAGCTAATCATAAACTCTGTGCACACACACACACACACATATATATCAAAGGCCCAGTAGCCCACACACCATGACTAATGCCAAGATCTAGTTTGCCAATTACCTGGGAGAGCAACTCAGAGGCAACAATGCTAACTTTGTTTCTAACAAATTCGTAAGGATTCTGCTTGGATGTGTTCCCACGCAAAGCAGTTTTTGCTGAGGCATTGGGATGCGTAGGATTAACCCACAGCAGTTGCCATAATGCCTGCAGAACATAAATGTGTCGTATATGTAACCTTACAACCCAAATTAGAAATGATGGGAGTGGTGTGCTATTTCCATCAGTTTGATTATCAAACCTGTCTCAATATAACAATTAAGGATCGGATATCCCTCAATGATAGTGGTCTTTCTTGTTCATAAAACTCCTCATTATCGACTATCATAAGCATATGCCTGGAAACCAAGCAGAAGAATGATGTCTTAGAGTGGAAAATCAACCATGAGAATATTTTGAAATATTAAATCCTCAGATAACTGTGGATAGTTGCAAACAATTAATGTGAAGAGAAGTTAGCATTAAAAGGGAAACTTACTTATACACAGGACAGAAAACAGCCAAAGGTAACAACCAACCAGGTGCATCCCCTGGTACAAGTGAGAGATGCTCAGGCAATGACGACCACCTTTTATTGTCATGACAGTTTTTCATGAACTCCCAAAGCACTCGAACAAGTTCAGTTCTATAAGCTAGCACAGTCATTATACGCTCGATGGGTAACGTGTTAAACGTGACATGCAGAAAGGCACAAGCAGCACCAATAGCTACAACTGATCTGTCATCTCCAACTGATGAAATTCCGCCGAATAAGATATTTATCTGCAGCATAACACATTTCAAAATCGCAGCTTAATAAGCTCCAGCGACATAGATGTTTTTTTCAAGACTATCCTAAACATGGCAAGAGCGTATTGGCAGCTTACCAATTGCAGCATAAAGCGTGAATCTATACTGCTTATTATCTGCCGCTCCAGATCTGCGTCCAAAGCTATTTGAATGTCATCACCAGAATCCACATCCTCTTCAATCATAGCTGCATCTGATATTAACACCCATCAAGGAGCTCAAAATCCAGTTAAGAGAGTAGTATATAAAGTAGCCACCACGAGTTTGGTTAACTAATAGCTATCAATAATCCAAGTAAAACCGCATGCTGGGGAGAAATAACTCTTTCTCTCATAGAAAAAGAGGGCAACACAGGAAAAAAACTTAAGAAGCAGCAACCAATAGGAACCCATACCCTCTTTAGCTTTCTGAGTTGAAGACTTTATGGGAGGAAGAGCTTCCAACAGGAACGTTGTGACAGCCGCAAGGTCAATAGCCTGTAAGTGGTATACTCCAGTAACAGGACATTACTTTTCAAGACTAAGTTTCACACAAAAAAGGGAGTCCTCATTTACCATGTTAAGGGCTAGGATATGGAGATAACAAAAATGGGAAAGACCCAAAAAGTAAGGGGCACATACACAACATAACGATTAAGGATGGCTTACCATTTCAAATGGACATGCCGGCTGTGATAACGTAACTCCAGCAGCTTCTAAAATATTTCCAAGCAGGCAGGCATAACCAGGATACTCTGCAGATATATCACCGGGCAGCAGATTGGCATGATTTTGCAGACACAGTGACATCTGATGAATGTAATGCTGGCTCAGCCCCAGAGTTGAGAAAACCTGAAGGACAATAATCAAACAAATTATGTTACTTGTCCACCTTGTGAAAGCTAAATAGCAAATCGGGAGGAATGAGATTATATGAAGACAAGAATGCTCACAACACAAAGGAAAAATTAACAGAGAGAGAAAGCTCGATCATAACAGAATGTAGAAAATAAAATACCCCTTTTAAACTTGGGGAAAACTTCCATAGGAAAGGAACTGTAAGCATCTGTGAGGAAAAACTGAATTGTGGATCAACATTGGGGCAGGTACATGAATTCTGGCCAGTGTGAGAAATCATGAACCCAAGAATGTGTTCCACTCCGGACTGTTTTCCAGTAGAGCTGGAGGTCTTCACATTTTCCTGCAGAGTGTTTGTGAGATATCTCAGAAGGCCTCACAACAAACGAATATGCAGAAATGTTCATTAGCAGCAGAGGCAAGTGAGATATACAAACAGGGAACGAATAGAAAGATCTGTCAATGCTAATAACATTAATATGGCAGCTACTCAGTCTACATGTGAAATATCGACAATGTCAAACATACAGGATTTGGAATAGTACTTCTTCTTTTAACATGATTACCATGCTTGCACCTACTGAGCCTCAGAAGTTCAGCCACACAATTATTAAAACTATAAAACTGCACAATGCGTGAAATGGAGGAACTATACCAAAATGGCAAACTAATTACAACACGGGATGGATTGGGAGAAACATAAAAAAATCACAGACCAAAATTCAAAATAAAAGATTCATACTAACCCTTTCAGCGAGGACAATTTCGCGGAACAGAGCAAACACATTTCTGTGGCAAAGATAACTAACAGTCTTGCATGCCCATGGAAGTTTGGGATCGATCAAAGCGGCCACAGCTTCAAGCAATACAGTAGATTGCATGACAGATTCTGCATCTGGTACAAGCAGTTGCTGCCTAAAACGTGATCAGTTCCCAGAATTACAAAGAGCAGAAGCAATAGTGAATCTGACGACAAACATAATCATTATGTCTGGACCTCTCAAACCAATGACTACTTCCAAAACAAAAATTGGCAGCATCTGAAATTCCACCAAGAGAATGGGAAAAGCTAAAAGGAAAAAAAATAATAATGGTAATCTAGCAAGCTTTAAAGGAGGCCCCACCTATTTTGATATAGTGACAGAATACAGATATAGGCAAGGTTCTTCACCCGATGATCCACCAGAGCATGCACTGCTAAATAATCCACGCCAGCAAAAAGGCTCACAATATTGACTGCACCAAAATGAAAGGTCAGTGACAATAAACAGAATTCGTAAAGCAGCATAACCATACATGGGCATTCAGGAACATTCTATTACAAATCAACATCAACAAGATTTAAAAGAGATGCAAAGAAGATTTGTATTCACATCTTCTGGAAAGAGGAGACTGAACAAAGAAGCAAAAACATCTAACTAGACAGAAAACGTAGAGTACCATATGATACTCATTTCCAAAAGAGCAGGCGCAACTGACCATTAAGACAGGTGGCATTGTTATGTCAGAACAATAAGAATGTCGTACACAAGAACATGATAGTCAGAAGAACTTAAGACACTAGCATCCAGCCAATGTAGACCCAGAAGAATTTTCAAGTACTAGTTGGACTAAAAGAACATATACCATTATCTCGAACTAGATTCAACATCCCTCTACAGGTCTCCACGAGAACGGTGTAATCACCAGCATTCCTAGCATTAAAGAAAAAGAACAGCTGGCGGAGGTAATCTGAATCTGCACAAAAGCAACACCTGAAAGCACAACAGCACAGGTATCACTAAAATAAGAATAACCGAAACAGATCCTATAAAGCAGTACGGTTAGAAGTTTCATTTGGGACCTGTCTGTATTTTGGCAATAACTTCCATATCTTGAAAGGAACTGCTCCCGCACCTTAGCACGTTCTGCTTTTGCTGCCTTTCTACCTCTGAAGCATTTCTGTAGTCACTAATCAGTCACGATATGAATTCATTTGTTTCAAATCCTCACAAAGGTTCAGCAAGAGGAAAACCAAGCAGTGGCAACTTCAACCAAAATGAAAGTTCATACAGCGGTTCATTACTCTAGTTAACAAAAATAACATCACCCATGTGGAGAATTATGGAACATTGCTATAACTAGTTTTCTACTCTGGTTAACGCTAAATCCAAAATACAAGCCTTACTGTCTTGGTATATCCGAAGGATACTATACCCACACACGAAAATAGAACTTGCTTGTTGGTACTTACAATGCAGAATTCGACCATGCATTACAACACCATATCTCCTAGGAAATTTTGTGCAATCATATTTCTTGAATTGGAGGGTACCGGGTTTGCTCTTAACCTTCTACCAGTTCTTAACCCCTGAGGCTGCCAACTACTTTCCATCACAGTTCATTAGCTCCACACGCTACCCGCAGACAAGAATTCTAATTGCAACATAAGGTTCCATTTCCCAACTATATAGCAAATCCCTAAATTATTCAGTCCGAACCCTTAGGTCACTGCAAGTCCTTCTCCCACAACTACTCCTAGCTTCCCATGTTCCCACTTACCGCGAAAGCAACAGCACGAGAACAAATTTATCAATTGAAAGAAGACCTAACCTGAATTATGATTGCGGCCGCATTCTGCTTCCGCTGCCACAATCTGCGATCACGCTCCATCCTCGTCTGCTCCATAAGCTTCTGCGTGTCTCTCTCCTTTGAACTCCGCCCTCCCAAGGCGACCCGCTTCCGAGACGTCGGATCGCCGGAGAAGAACATCGTGAACGGGAGTCAACTCTGAATAACCCCCGCTCAAAAGCCAACTCGCTGCGCCGGAAATCAGACAATAAGAATACTACCAAGAATGAGCTTCAAGGAATTCAGTCTTGACTTTTGATAAAAGTCTTCGGCGGGAACGGGGTCGTCGGCGGGAAGCTTTCGCGGCACAGAGGGGGCTTTAGCTCGAAAATTGGAGATGGAGAAAGAATCGGAGTAAAGGTGGGAGAGGAAACAGCAGTTGGCGCTTTTTCTCGGCTTGCAATGGGTTGGGAAATGCAGAGAGGGAGGAAGTAAGGACTTGGGGCGAAAGAAAGCTGGAAGGAAGGAAGGAACAAGACAAGAGGACAAAAGGATTCGGGGAGTCGGTCTAGCGGGTCGAATACCTCGTACGTAGGCCCAATAGAAAAAATTTCCCAAACCCCACCCTTAATTTGGATCTGCATTCAAGCCCAAAGTTGTCAAGAGCCCAGATTCTTGGTATGCCATTGGATGTGGGCCAAATGTTTCAATTTTTTTTTCTGGCCCAGAGAAGCCCTCACTGCGCCCTACAATTGGGTTATGGCTCAAAAAAATCCAACAAATCTAGAGAGGCCGTTTAATAAGAGCCCAAATAATTCAAACAGGATGAGTTGCTTTGGAATATTCCTCTATTCAAGCCCATCCAAGAAAAATTGGCTTTTGAAATCAGGCAAATCTAGTTACCAACTCCATTCCACCATCGACGACAATGACTAACCCTTCGTTATAAAAAAAAAAACTCCAGACAGTAAGTGTTAAACAACTAGTTCAAGTTAGGCATATTCTCACATGTAGGGATCGAGCCTCGTACCTCGTCAACCACCTCATAAAAAAGTGACCGAGCCATATCATAAAATTATACCGTAACTTTCTATTTCTTTATTTTTTGTTTGAGATATGTCAATGCCGAGATAGAACAAATAAGCAACATTTTCCGTCCCCTCCCAACTTAAGTTAACAAATCTAAAGACGATTTATTAAACAAAGGAAAAGAGCTTTGCATGTCGCTACATGAGCGTCGCAGTTAGCAATTCTAAATACCACTCGAAAAACTATGTTCTCGAATCCTAGTGGCTTCTGTTTCATATAATACTAACAGGGTTTGACTATGAAAATTAGTCAACCCCAACTAACTCAGGCTACACCAAGAGAACATTTTCCAAAGAAATTAGGCTGAACAGCATAATAAACTTTGTATTTATCTAAAACAGTTGTAGGACTTAACTAGATAGGAATTATGTTTATTCTGATATGGTATAATGGTTCTTGGGCTGCCTTGCCTTACCTTACCAACTTGGGGGGGTTCTCCTTACGAAATTTGGTCAAAGATGGCAGTTGACCATTGCCTTTTCTTACCTTGGGCTTGTTCAACCTTAAATTCGGGTTGGGTTTGACTTATATATAACAACAATTGATTAATGTTATTGGTCAAATGTTGTGTTTTATAATTGGGATCATATATCTCGTTAGTGTTGCTCGGTCAAAGTAAAGTGAAGTTCCTGCTTCTAAACGGGTAAATGATTACCCGAGATATGAGAGTTCCCTTATTAATTAAATATATGATTGCTTTTGATTAATTTGAGCAAAAAATAATTAAGTCAACTATTTAGTGCATTAGTGATTATAGCATTCGTAGATAATTTGACGTTGGGGTAACTACATTTTAATTTGAGTTCATACTTGAGATTCGTCAACACTTATTGGGACTAACTCCTAGTGGCTAATTAATAAAAACCTCAACTACACAATCCATTAGGGTGTCTAAATCCCAATTGCATTATGCGCTCCATGCATCTTATGCCAATATCAATAATAATAATAATAATAATAATAATAATAATAATAATAATAATAATAATGCTGGAAATAACTTGAGTTCGTATGGATTTAATAAGATATTAGCATTTTTTTTTATTTGATTATCGATGGTTTGATCTTAATAACGATAAGAAACTAGTATTAGGTGAATATCTTTTCAACGAGATCAAATTTAATCTCTTACCAATAGGGATGGCAATGGGTCGGCTCGGGGGCGGATAGTGCATATCCGTTACCCTACCCAATGTAGTTCGGGTTTTACCCATACCCGTACCCACACGAGAAACGGGTAGAAAATCAAAACCATGCTCATACCCGTTCGGGTTTCGGATATCCACGGTTATCCATGGGTAATAATTTCTCCTTATAATTCCAACCAATATGTTAACATTCACACGTATATTCACATTACGTAAGAGGAAAAGTACGACAATAATTCACTAGAATGACGAAAATTAATTAAAACAACATAATTTCATGAAAATATTATATTTATATGCTAAATATAAAATATTATAGAAAAAATAATGATGATTTCTAGACAAAATACATATGCATGTGTATAATCGGGCGAGTTCGGGTTGGATAGTGAGATAACCAGGCCCACCCATTACCCGCACTATTCGGGTTCGGGTTTTACCCGTACCCACGAAAAATGCTTCGGGTTCGGGTTTTACCCTACCCGATTAGGTCGGATTCGGGTGGATATCCACGGTTACGGATATTTTTGCCATCCCTACTTACCAACATCCTACGCGAGAAATGATATATCCGGTTAGAATGCAAGCAAAAATTACAATATATATATATATATATAACATGTTTTTTTAGCTTTTCACTAACTAAATGCATTCTTTTGTGATATGATGAGATACTTGTGCTTCACTATTCTCTCAGAATTTTCAAATTGGTGTGGATGTTTTATAATGAAAATTGAAATTTCTTTAAGGCGGTGATAAATAATGCAGTCAAAATCGTGATTCTATGTAGAAGCGCTTTGGTGACTTAGAAGCGTAAAAGCGTAGGTATTTTACAACATAGTTTGATTGCAATTGTACGTTTTGGTTCATAGTAGATCGATGAGTTCCAAAACTAATCTCAAACTTACTACCAATGTAGTCAAAATCGCGTTTTAAAATCGAAAAACTTACATTTCTAGGTCACAAAAACGCTTCTACAGTTTTTGGCAACTACAATACTTATTAATCAAGTTAAATGCCTTTTGATCCCCCACTGATGATTATTGTATTAGGATGCAAAAGCATCCCTTGGTTGACAAGTAAACAGTCATATTAGCCATCGACAATGCAACACACGAATGGGAAATAGTGAAAGCGTGTGGGGCTATATATATATAGGGATTGAAAGTTTGAAACTGAGTATAATCAAAACCCAAATTGCGCAGAATTTCATCATTAAAAGCTAGTTTTGGTTATTGTTGGTATTTATTAATTTATAAACAACTAATCAACACATTGTCTCTATGTGTATAATCCCAAGACGGCCTAGAAAGGCATTAAAGCATGCACGAACAATAAAACAAAAAACAGAACACAAAAGCCGCCGGAATTTCACACATTCACACCAGGTGATGAAGTGTTCTATTCAAAGTGTATATATAGTGGGAGAAGGTGAACTTTACTACTTTGTGTAGTTCTTTGATAAGTTACTGAATTAGGTTTCGTCATGGTTCTATGATAAAAGTGACAAGTGCTCTTTCGACGCATATAATTCGCGTTAGTTTAAGCCAGTTTAAATAAGAAAAGGTAAACATGTTTTTACAAGCCAAATAATGTGTAAGAAATGGGTGGAATTGATGTTGTCGAGTGACTTCAGAACATATCCAAGGTAGGAGGTTTGTCAATCGAGTTATTTTTACACCAACTAAATTTGTATATTCGTGATTTTTTGTTAACGTTCTGGTGCTACGAACTACGTTTTTCTATAAGAATCTAGAAGCATGTACGTGTGCATACATAGGAAAGATCAATCCTCAATTAATTTGGCAAAACAATTTGTATAGTGATGGTCGACAAGAGATGAGCCCCATGAAGGATTAATTAATGAGCTCATTTTTGTCAACATAATCAATTGCATTTGGTTGTGCTTTAACCAACCGGATGTCTCCAAACCTGGGAAACGAAGGAAATAATTAAAACAGAAAAGTGTTTCCTCTCACACGAATCAAAGAGCCAAAAGAGACTTTCTTATAGCTTCTTAATTATGCCCTTAATTACTAGATTAGCAAGTTCCTCTTTTCCATATGCATGCATGTTCTTGTTTTGTTCCTTTGCAGCTTTAATTGCTACTCGCAACTTATGCTGTCTTTCTTTCCATTCATTTTGGCTTTGGCTTTGGCTTCTTTTAATTAATCTTGGTTCCTGCATGTGTACAATTGAGCATAACCTAATCTTCTTCTGAAATGGGAAACCATGCACAGCAGCCAAATATCACTTACACTCCACTTTAATACTCCAAAGCATGGTGGCATTAGTAAAGTTACGAATTTGTAATAAAATAAAAAAATTAAAGTTCTCGTCTCAATAAATCAAATTGTTTGGAAATGTGTTATGCGCCTTCGGGACAGTAATGGCAATGGCGCGGCGGGGCGGGTACCTCAATATCCATACCCCGCCATCCCATGCTGTTACGGGTCGGGGCGGGTCGACCCATCCTTAGATGTTATTTGAAAAAATTACACGCACAATTTTACTTTTTACGATAAAATGAAGGGAATCACACTTCATAAATGAAAAATAGTGATAGTATAATAGATAATTGAGTCTAACTAATTGAAAGATCAAGTCTTATATTTGAAAAAAAGTCAATACATAAGAAATATGATTAGAATTGCAAGAAATCTATATAAAATGGGTCAAGAACGCGGCGGAGCAAGTCATGGCGGGTCAGAAGTAGATATCCATGCTCCGCCCCATACTGCCGCGGGTCGAATAATACCCGCCCCATCGCGGATCAGGTCGGGTAATACCCGATGGGACGGGTTCAGATTGCCATCCCTAAAGACTGACTTCTACTTATTGAATCTTTAATCTCCGAACTTTGAGATTCCTTTTTCGTATTTCACTTTGAAAATAGTAATTCATACTCGTAATTAAACAAAAAAAAGACCAAATAGAGTACAATTTCCATTTTTTATTGTAAAT